TGCACTGGCTACACGTTACGATACACCACTGCGCTTGGCTGTTTGATCGTCGCGCATGCGCCAGAAATCCGTTCCGTCTAACAACACTGTCTTGAATATAAGATCTGACTATGGATACCAGCCAAAGTAGGCAGACTTCGTGAATTGTGTTTTGTGAATTTTTCTCTTAGCAAACTCAGATCGGACTATCACTGCAAAATATTGTATACTACCATATACAGTCAGGTACGATACATATTATTGTTATTATTATTATTGGGTGAGTGCAACGATTAGTGGATTTATTATTCCAAGTTCAAACAGCTGCAATTTTGTTAAAAATGAATGAAATTTAATTTAAACAAAGGATTTTAAAACTTTAATTTCTACTTTTGAATGGTTATTATATTTTTTTAATTTATGTGAGTTTTGTAATTTTTAGTAATGTATAGAAAACTATGAATTAAATGGGAAATTTTTTCTTCACTTTGTAGGCTAGTCACATGTCCAAAAAAATTCGCAAAAATTTTTGAATTTCTAATGTAAATTCGTAAAGTTTTCTCTATAACATTGTTTTTAAAAAATGTCTCTACAAATTTTTGTTACTGAGTTGTTGCGAATCAAATAAAAAGAATATTTTGACTTTGATTGCTCATGATTCCATCGAAATCATTACAATTAAAAAAAACAGATTCTTAAATCCTCTCATCAGATAGAGTAAGATTTAGATTTTAATTTATTTTTAACAAAAATAGCAACCGTTTGAATTTTGAATAATAAATTGGGCACAATTTTTATACTTACTCAATATATACAAAGCACACGAGGTTTGTTAGCGTCACATGCTCCAACATGCCCCTATTTCCTCCAGATGTAGCTCTTACTCTCTCAAACGTGCTCATTGAAGGAAGTAAGAGCATGTTGGAGCATGCGATGCGAACAAATCTCATGTTATTTCTTATGTCTTTCATCGCTGTTATTAGGACACAGTCAACAACGGTCAACTCAGCAGAACCACGTGTCATTAATAAAGAAAAAAAAAAATCAGCATTAATTTGATTGCTGTTACATTTGTATTTCTACAAGATGAACACGCGTAGGAGCTTACCTAACATTTTAATATGTGGTATGTGATAGCGTTGTTATTCAGTATAAATTTCAAATATCCTTAATAATTGTCAATGTTTTTTAGGCCCACCTGGCGTAGGCAAGAGCACATTGGCGAATTTGTTGGAGGAAGATACTGAATTAAACTGGATCGACGTCAATAAAGTAGCTATTGATACTGGATGTATAAGCGAGTATGACGAAGAGTTACAATGCAGCATATTGGACGGAAACACGGTAATTATTATTGTAGCCATAGGCCCAGTTTTTACTGTAGGTTCGAACCAGGTATTTATATTGTATACTGAAGATGTCCTGATATATGCCGAAATATCTATAATTTGTTTATGTAACGTAAGAATTTTAAATATACAACATTCGCAATGAACACTTTGCGCGTGGCTGAATGTTCTTTATTTTTTATGTTTGTAGTTTTCGAACCACTAGTGAATTTTACAAATATAAGTTAAACATGCCAAATTAATCTAAGAACATTTAAAAAACCGTTTTTAAAAATCCATTGTTAAAAAACCATTTGGAAAAACCATTTAAAAAATGTCTATTTTCTATTTTAAATAGGTGTCTAAAATTCATTTTGTATTTTATATTTCCAAATGGAAAGATTACAGTAATTTTACATTTTCTATTTTAAATAAATTCGAGCAGCCATTCTGTCCACACATATATCTCTGATTAAATGTGTATGCAATATTGATACATTGATGCTGGCTGGCAGTTCCTTTAATTGATCAAGATTTAGTATTACCAACATAAGATTAACTTTAATCTTTGTTTTTCCAATTTATTCTTTATCTTTTTCTAATTCTAAGAATATTTTAATTCTGAATATAAGAAATTCTTGGAATTTGGAAAAAGTAAACAAAGTTAAATCAAGATTTAAGATAATCTTACATTTGTAGAATTAGGTCCAAGAAACATAAACACAATGCAATTGTCTGTTGCTAGTATAATACGAACATTAGACTTTGTTCTTAATAATCATAATTTTTGTAGTTTTTTAAATCATGAAATATATAGTTATTTAATAAATATAATAAACAAAAAATAAAATCATCATGGATTATTGATGATCCATACAATGTTAAGTTATTTAAAATTGACCAACAAATTTGGTTGAATTAAAATTATGAAATATTTTCTGCAGATTATATCATCTAGGTCACATGTTAAACATACACATTTTTGTTTGCAATATCTTTCTTTCTAGTTAGTGAAACTTATGGAGGATTTGATTAGAGAAGGAGGACAAATCGTGGACTATCACAGTGCCAACTTGTTTCCTCTAAGTTGGTTTGACGCTGTGGTTATACTTAAAGCAAACAATGCTACTTTAGACAACCGTCTACATAAAAGACGGAAGATAGAAAGAAAAGCCAAGAACAAACCGGACAACAATGTAGGAGCTGAAAATTTTGTAATTGTTATCCCAGAAATAGAAGACTTATTTGACCCAGATATAGTGCTTGAACTAACAAACAATGTTCCAGAAGACATGCCAATTAATATAGATAAAATACTTGAATGGATGAAGGAATGGAAAGAAGATAATATGCAAAAATAAGAAAATATGTATCAAGTATTTCTTATGTAGACCTATTTTCTCATTATTAATCAGAATAAAGGACTGATCAACAATAAATAAAATATTATTTTCTCATGTAAAGTTCTCACGACTATGTTTCTCATATATACTTATTTAGATTGTAATTTTATTATACAAATATATAAATTTATCGACGCAATAAAATGTGATTGCACAAGTTCTAAACTCTATTAAGCAATCTGTACATATAATAAATACATAAGTACACATATGTATGTATATACACAGAGGCATATCTACGGATAATAGCTCCTACAGTAAGCACTGAAATTGCGCCTGTCCAAATATCTGAAATCCATGTTTTAGGGGCTCCGCACAACAAAAGGAACAAGGAACAGAGAACAGAATAAAAATTTCAACCTATTAGAAATGGTTTTAATGCGTTATACCGTTTACTTTATCATTCTTTGATTTCTGAATCTTTTTTTTTTTTGCTTATGTGTATACTATATATTATACTAATATCTCATGTTAATTTCTAATATTAATCGAATCACCACTATTCTTTCTACTTCCTATCAATGGACTATGATTATCATCCTTTACATTATAACTAACAGGTTTAACATTTCGAAACCGTTCTTGTATTTTTCTTTTGATAAGCCAATGCATTTTTTTGTTTAATTTATATCTTTCTTGATCATATAACTTTGTGAAATACAACTTCTGTCTACTAAAAAACTCTTCACAAATGTACCATGGAATGTGTTGAGAAATCCTTTTTACTAAATCTAGCGACTGTTTTTTGGAAGAGTTGATAGATCTATGAGCTTCATTAATTTCAATTTTAAGTATCCGGTGCATGTACAAATGTGTCATAGACGAAAACTTTTTCATAGTTATATGATGTGATAAATTAAGTTTATGTTTTTTGATGTAATATAGATGTTGTGGTACCACCTTTTCACGTATACAAAATTTTAAAAAATTGATGCGGACATTATTCTTAACAATGATCTTTTGTTGTTTTGACCACGATTTAATATAAGTTAGCGCAATTGGACCAAAGGTCATCAAAATAAAGCTAAAAAACGAATTATGTTGTTGACGCATTTTTCAGCCAGCGTATAATAAAATAAATATAATAAAAACTCTCGAAATTGTCAAAATAAAACCATAAAAAGGGGGCTAATGAGAGTATAGTCGCTGATCGTTTTGCGATGAATAAGTTTATTAATTAATTAGCATCCATACGTTTCGGCATCCATTCGAGCCATCATCAGTGCATCTTAGACTTAAAATTAATATTGATTATCGATCATTACTTGGCTCCACGAGAGTGGTCACTCCTTCCATCAACAATACGTGACAACAGATTGAAAAAGCAATTGGCAACGTTCGAGGATGTAGTTCTATAAATAGAAATGAACAATACCAAAAATCTCCAATAAAATTGTAACTACCAGTGAATAAGACTCACCCGTAAGGCCAAGAATAAACGGTAATACTTATGTATAATGTGTATCGTATCCATTAATTAAAATTATAAAAAACACCGCAGTCAAATACAATAAATTTCAGTAAGTCAGATCTAATTAAACAATCAATTTTGAATACGTGGTACATTTTTGTCGACTCATATAACAACGAACAATCGTATGAATCTTCCAACAGTAACTCGCTCGAATTATACATTTATATAGAGTGGTAAATGACATTTATGATGTGTAACAAACGGTAAAGACAACAATCAAAGGATACAAAGAGACTATCTTACCGAGCAATGATAACAAAAACTATATAGTAATAAAGATGAAAACTTCGAACGACAATCGTTACAAATTATTCAAGATCGAAATATACGCATGGTGTAGAAATTCTGTGTCAGACTGTAAGTTTAACCCATTTTTTTGCAACTGTATGTGCACCATTTCTGATATTCGTCGTTTAAATAAAAATCTTTCATTGTCCATTATCTCTACATTTTCCCAATCGAAATCGTGATTATAATTAAGTCTATGTTCTGTAATTACCGAATGATTATTAATATTTTTTCGAATATCATTACGGTGCTCATTAATTCTCGTCTTTAATATACGTTTAGTCTGACCAACGTATGAAGCATCACAGTCATTACATTTGATCTTATATACTGCGTTCTTTTTAGACATATTTGGTATCGGATCTTTATGTGTTTTTATAAAACAGCTAAGCTTATTGAGACTAAAGTACGCCAGGTTTACTTTATAATCCTTGGTGATATCTCTAAATTTATCCGAAACCTTAGTTACATAGGGGAACGCAAACCACATATTGTTTTTTACATCTGTGTCGCTATCAATGTTACTGTTTTGCCTCAACGTTTTTCCATGTAATAAAGATTTGAGACGTTCATTCATTACATTGAAAATAAAATCCACCGGATAGTCATTATTCATAAGTGTCTCTATCACAAATAATAAATTCTTTTTATGATATTTAGGTACTGATAATAGAAAAGCTCTATCAACCATTCCCATAACAGTGCCCTTTTTCTGCGACAAAGGATGTTCAGAAAAAAAATTCAAATATCTCCCCGAGTATGTTGGCTTATGGTACCAATCAAATTCCAGAGATTGGTTATTCTTAATGATGGTGATGTCCAAAAAATTCAACCTATTTCCACCTATTTCTAACGTAAATTGTAATCGAGGATGAAATGAGTTAAAAACGTCCAAAATTTTTGAGGTTTTTTCGACAGGAGCACCCATAGCAATATCATCCACATATCGCACATAAAATGGTATATAAAAGCCTAAAGTATCTAACGCCTTCCTCTCTAAATCTTGTAACACAATATCAGCGATAACCGGAGACAGAGGTGAACCCATAGGCATGCCGAATTTTTGTCTATAAATAACGTTGTCAAAAGAGAAAAAAGTCGAATCAATCACCAGTCTTAATGCAATAAAAAATTCGTCCCTAGTAATATTCGTTCTGTTAGAAATCGAAGGCCATCTAAGAGAGATGCTGTCCAAAGCTAAGTCAATGGGTATGTTCGTAAATAATGAAACGACGTCAAGTGAGATTAAAATAAAATTGTCATCTAACGTAGTTTTTTTCAAAACATTAATCAAGTCAAAACTGTTTTTTATCTGACTAAATGAGTTCACACTGACTTTTTGAATAATTTTGTGTAGAAATGTTGCCAACGGGTATAACGGACTGTCTATGGTTGAAATGATAATTCTAAGAGGTGCTCCTATTTTGTGTATTTTCGGGAGTCCATATGCTCCCGGCAACACACCTTCACTCACATTTAAACTATTGTATGTGTAATGAGTGATAAATTCTTTTTTCTCCCATCTAGCCAACAATTCTCTCAATTTCCTCGATAAAACATTGGTTTGATCCCTTTTAACTACTTCATATGTATCCCTATCATTAAGTAAACTTAGCATATTTTTCTTATATTCCATTTTACTCATTGCCACTGTCACATTCCCCTTGTCGGCTCTTGTAATCATGATGTCCCTATTATTCTTTATAAACAAGCTAGTTTCCTTCCACATGTCCACAAGTTTATTTTTTATGCTATCAGTATGATTGAGAACTGATGAAAGGTTGCTAATAATCGGGATAGCTCTATTTCTAACCTCTAAACAATTACCAATATGTAGTTTATTAATATTATTCTCAATACTCTTAATAAACTCAATTATGGTCTTTTTGATGTTAACCGGAGGGAGGGAAAAATTTCCTCCCAATTGTAATAAACTCTGAACTTTAAATGGTATATGAATGGAAGTCAGATTAATGAACCAATTGTTTTTTAAACAACTCAAAGATGAATCGAAACTTTTACTTCTAATATCAGACAGATCTATATGCACATCTACACTATTTCCATTGATATCCTGATTATTAAGGTTATAATTTCTAATATTAATCGAATCACCACTATTCTTTCTACTTCCTATCAATGGACTATGATTATCATCCTTTACATTATAACTAACAGGTTTAACATTTCGAAACCGTTCTTGTATTTTTCTTTTGATAAGCCAATGCATTTTTTTGTTTAATTTATATCTTTCTTGATCATATAACTTTGTGAAATACAACTTCTGTCTACTAAAAAACTCTTCACAAATGTACCATGGAATGTGTTGAGAAATCCTTTTTACTAAATCTAGCGACTGTTTTTTGGAAGAGTTGATAGATCTATGAGCTTCATTAATTTCAATTTTAAGTATCCGGTGCATGTACAAATGTGTCATAGACGAAAACTTTTTCATAGTTATATGATGTGATAAATTAAGTTTATGTTTTTTGATGTAATATAGATGTTGTGGTACCACCTTTTCACGTATACAAAATTTTAAAAAATTGATGCGGACATTATTCTTAACAATGATCTTTTGTTGTTTTGTATAAGTCTCTTCTCAAGTGTAATAATCTGACAGATAAATCATTAGAAAATCATGCATAAACCCAGTCAGAAATGTTAATGGAATCGACATCGATTCGATGTCGAGTCCATTATCATTTCTGACTGGGGATTAGTTATGATATCCTCTTGAATTAAAAAAAAAATTCTACTGTGTCTAGGTCATGTTTTAGTTTCTTTAATCTATTATATTTATGGTATCATAATATTTTATTGTAGAAGAAAATAAATGGTTTTTGTCTTTTGCAGTTTTTCTATAAAATTGATAGTATTTGAGTAAAAAAGTATTCAAGATCAACACAATATTTGACAATTTTTATTAATATTTTATTAACTATTGCAAAAATTGTAAAATGGTAGAGAACTTTTCGACTCAATTTAGTCCGCTCTATCTACACAAAAGCGGTTGGCAAAAACTTACGGGATACTCTGTATATGTATGTATACATTATATGAAGTCCTAATATACATTTATTTTATATCAGAATTTGATGTGAGAAATGACACGGTGAAGGCACACATATGAGATATTAGTATAATATATAGTATACACATAAGCAAAAAAAAAAAAAAGATTCAGAAATCAAAGAATGATAGAGTAAACGGTATAACGCATTAAAACCATGAGCGAAGAAAAATATTTCTCATTAGCGCTTATTGAGAGCAGGTCAGCCGCTATACTGTAAAACGCGTGCACCGTATCATATCATAACGTAATATATCATACGTGTTAATGGTTCGCGTTAAGAGTGCGTGTCTCGCGATCCCACAAAGTTATCCGATTGCAAACATGTCGGAATAACTCAGAATCTCCACACCGACCGGCTGCGACTGACTAGCCCCACTGGCCAGCCGGCCACCGAAGAATAACATTTGTTTGAAATCGTAACGGTGTTTACAGCCATGTAGAATACCGCAAACTGCTGTGTCTGTTAAAGCTACGTTATGTATGCATCACGGCGATTGACTGTGAATTAGCCCGATTTCGATGACATTGTGCATCATACATATATGAATATGTATGTACATCCTAGGATTTGAGGAGCTAAAACTGAAGATTAATCGAAGAGAAGGATTGTGTGAGACAAACGCGAATCAGGTGGTAAATGATACCGCACGAAGATGGGAAAATTTTTTGTAGGGAAAAACTTAATAGTTTCAATCATTAGCCCATATAGCACCGAAAGATTGTAGTAATGTTGCAGAAATCTTTTTTTGCAAGATTGCAACGTTGCAGAAACATAATAGTTGTTGTAACATTGCAGAAAACGATAAAATGTTCATCTTTGAAATATTACAGCAACATTAAAATGTATACTTAAAAAGTTCTAAAATTAATTAATCCAATTTTTTGTTTAAATAAGTAATAGCATTATATAATACATACGAAAAAAATGTTTCGGTAAAACCTTAGAAAATTGGCGATCTCGCCGATTTCAATGACCTTGACATATGTTGTCGAGATCATGACCCTGAGTGACCTCCAAGGGCGCGTTCAGATTCCTACTCGAGTGCGTTCCAGGCATCATGGTATCTTTGTTTCACATTCAGTGAGCAACAAGGATAAAAAGATACTTGGATGGTACTCGGGTGAGAATCTGGACACAGCCCGGCAGGTTTAATCATCCCTCGTTATCCGTTAAAAAGTTATTTCTTTCCACGTTAAAAAGATATGACTTTCCACGCGAAGCGAGGTCCACCTTTCCCTCTGCCTATAGATGCGAACGACTTTCCACAAAAAGTGAGGTCTACCTCATCTCCTCTCCTCCTTGCTTATAGAGGCGCGACTTTTCACGCGAAAGCGAGATCCACCCCAACTCCCCCCAAGATACCAATAAGTATCAAATTATTACTATTATAATTATGTCGGGATTGCGTTTTAAAAAGTCTGAAAAATCAATTCGGTGGGCAATTTTCATGACATATGTAGTATCGAGTTATTTAAGCATTTAAGATCCAGCTTCGGCCATTAAAAGCTTTTCTTTTCTATTAACTAGTTGTTTGTACAAATTGGCTAAACAATATTTTTAAATATCAATGCCAGGACCGAAGTGTTTTCGCTTTCCCGTTCGACTGAAGAAACGATACGAAGAAGAAGAAGAAGAAGAAGAAGAAGACGACGAGGAGAAGGAGGAAACTCGGAAGACTGGGAGTCCAAGACCCTGACGAAGAGAAGGTGGGAGGACGGGCGGCCCCATCTTGGCTGCTTTTCCGTTCCTCCTGTTGCTCCCGCGCCAAAAGTCAGACCGACGGGGGTCCGTTCAGTCTTGTTTCAGTTATCCTCACGCACGCGTAAACGCGATACGTCGCGGAGAAGACTGCCGCTAGTGCACGCTTGTTCATATCTTCTTCGTACCGCTGTCACGCAATCACCCTCCCGTGCACAAAGCTAACGATCGCGCTCGTTATCGGCGATGATATATATGCGTACGCCGCAGGTGAAGCGGGGAATCGATTCGATCTGGAGAAGCTACGTGATCAGCAAAGCGGAAATAATGCACGGAAGTCGTGTGACGATTCTTATTCTGTGCACGATGATGAATTGTCTGGTGAGTTCGTATTGTTTCCACGAATGTCTCCTGGATTTTAGAATTTATTAGGGTTGCTGGGTTGTTCTCCCCCTCGCTGGAAACGAGAGTGAGCGACGAAACGTTTTGTTTGGGCGATTTATTTGACATAAGGACCTCGCCCAGCATATTTTTAATTCAATGATTTATCTTATGTGTAACATGACGCCGTAATCACATTGCGTGCATTCTGCAGGACATTAAGATAGCCTAATGTGTTAGGGTCTGAGCACAAGAAATTGTCGTGATACTTACTTATTGTTAGATTTAAGTTATAGGTGTAAGCAACGTACAAGTTTAGCGTATGACGTTCGATTAATGCCGTGTCTCTTGGAGATTAATTCTTCTGCATATAAAAGTATTAAGATAAGCATATAAAAAAAACTAATAATTTACGAGATTTTATACTTTATTTTTTATATTTTATTTTGGGACATGTTTTAACCGTAGAGCAGCTAATTGCAATGTTTAATGTCGACATGTCGAATAACATATTAATGAAATCAATGGCATCATTTTTTGTCGAAGTTATAAAACTTTTGTTTAAAAAAATTTATAGATTTTAATATGCTTATCAGCATCGTTAAGATCTTTCTAAGATGCCTATGAGCATCAAATTATTAAATTACCAAAGAATTCAATTTGTGGTAGTTCTGTCGATATCAAGTCCGAAAAATCAATTCGGCGCGTAATTTGGCAAAATTTGATATGTAATATATAAATGTTTACACCGAATTATTTAAGTATTAAAGATCCAATTTCGACAGTTATGAGCTTTATTTCCTATTGGATGCATAAAACTTAATTTATGCAAAACCATTTTTCGATATAAGTTTTAGTTTTCGAGAAAAATTAATGCGTCACTTAAAATAACTCACTCTGTATCGCGTATAAATTGTACTATCTTATAAATTTATATCTGAATTCACTTTTCGTAATTCTGCATATGATGTTTTCCGTTATTAAGTTCGAATAGATAAATGTCATGATTAAATTACATTATAAAAAAGGCGAACTTTATTTTGTTTGAAAACTAAGTAAAACTTTTTCTTTGAGCAATGTGTTACTTCCTAAACGTTTTCAATGTATACAATGTGGTCCATAAGTTTTGAGACAAAAATTATATAAATTAATAAAAACATTTCATAAAAATATTTTGATTATTTTTTTTATTCTAAATAGGATTTTTACAATTAATGTATTCCGAATATCGTTTTTCTCTCATTTTCAATTTTTGCATCCCAAGTAGCACACAGCGCCAACAGCATAACGTTAACAAAGCGCTAAAAAAACGCATATAAGTGCTTTATTAGCGCTTTGTAGGCGCTGGTGTACTACTTGGGATCACAGTTAAGTACTCCTCCTTTGTAATCGTCTTCAATTAGTCAGTCACATCCGTTACAGCTTGAATTTCTGTCGAATCTTTAGTCTTTTAATTGCAATTTTGGAAATATGAAATAGTCGGAGGAGACAAAAGTTGTGTAAAATTTGGGTGATAAAACATTTCTTTAAATCTTTCGATGATATTCTAGAAATTTAAGCCGGCTTGTGACCAATCGATTGTTCTTTATTTTATATGATTTTTTTAAAATTTATACACTGCATTTTTTCTGTATAAATACAAGTCACTTTGCATTTAAAACGACAATCGCTCACTGAGCGCTCAGTGAGCTCTTTCGTCTGATTGGCATATTCCATTAGATCCTAAAATATAGACCAATTAAATTAGCAGTCTAGAGAGCGAATCGTCACGTGACTGCATATACAGAAAAGAGGCCTGTTCTTTTTAGCTAAACTTTTGCACTAGTTCAAGAAAAAAGATGAACTGGTGCAAAAGTTCAGCCAAAAAAGAACAGGTCTAAGGGATGCCAGGTCTGTGATGTTGATTCAAGATGTAGGCATACCTCTCTGTGATTGGTTCAAGATATCATATATCTCTTTGTTGATTGGATGCGTAGATTTATTCTGAGCATGCATATTTTTTTGGCAAATGTTTTGCAGTAGTTAAAGGGACAAATTTAGCAATCTAGTATAATATATAGAAGTCTGTGGTTGTTTGACGGGTTAAATAACATTTACTGACGTCATTCTGTGACATCATTATAACGTAATATTTTGGATTAGCTGCTTCTCGGTTAGTAAAGTAAGTTATAGTATAATAATTATTTGCACGTTTTTTTTTTCACGGACATAATTATCACGTATGATCGATCCAATTTGTTTACTATACGATGTGATGTTCCCTTCTCGGCGTAATAATTTTCTCATTTGCTCACGATGATTAAGAGCTTAAACGACTTGCTATTATCATTTTTATGCTAATTCATTAGTGTGAGTGCACGTATGCAGGATGTTACATCCTTGTAGGAAATCTTGTTATTTATACACATCCCGCCTAACGAATAGACTTGTTGAAATCCTTTTTAAGTACCAGTAGTTCTATATTTGTCAACGAGTTCAAGATTATTCTGAATAAATTAAAATTCTATTAATGTCAACTATGACGTTAAAATTATATTAATGTCAGCTAGACGCGAATTATGAGGCTTCCTCAGCGGTTGAATTTGTCAAAAATCCTTGCTTATCGATTACGGGTTCCGTAGTTAGGAACCCGTCGGTCTTCCGGCAGGACTACGTTCGTCTATACGCATGTTGAATCATAATTCTTACATGACCTCGTAGGTCGTTGGACTCTGATACGTCAACCGGTGAGTCGCGTCGTCGACGTGTCATCCGTTGAATATGCGAGTCGTGTTAAAGAGGAATGCATTCCGGGCCATGGAGTCCCTATCTGAATTATCACCTGAGTTCATTTTATAGAGGGAAGTAAATATTTTACTTTAAACATACCTATGTGTTAAGTGTATGAGTAAGGCGTATTATTATTTCCATGCTTAACCTGTTTTAATAAAACTCTTACGTTTTAATGGTTGTAGAATAGCAGACTGAGTACACTTCTTCTTACGTATCATCTCACGTTACGGTATCGCACCTTTTACATTGCGTAGCTTTCTTTTCACAAGAAATGAATGTATTATAGGAATTTATTTTGACTGGTACTAAATTGATTTTTGATATGCTATTAATTGTTTAATTAATTAATACGTATATCTTTGCAATGACAGCTTAATGTAATTTTTTTTATTGACGATATTAAATACAGTATCTTTTAAGATCGTAATGTGAATACGTAACAAATCTTTTTCGGTCTTGAAATGCAAATCATAAAGAGGACTAAAGTAAAAATGTAACTTATTAAATTGACAAATAATTTAATAATTTTTTAATACTAATAAGCATCTTTATTAATAATCTGATGTTAATGAACATCTTAATCTGCGAATAATTTATTGTCTCAGCCAAATTCGAACCTTGACCTCCCCGTATTCCGTGCATACATCTTCACCATTTGATTACCGAGATTTCGGCAATATTTGTCGCAATAACCAATAACTAGTAAAAAAACGTCGTTTTTTTAAGGAAACGTGTGTATAAACAAATACAATTTGAAATAGAATCAATAAGAATAAATCCAATTAAATGAGAGAAATTCTATAAATTCATACAGAAATATTTAAGCACTAATAAGATTCTCTTTAACGTCTTTGACCGAAAAATGTAGGATTTCCCTCATTTAATTAGATTTATTCGCTTCGGTCTATTTTAAATTGTAATTGTTTATGCATACTTTCAAATTGTAATTGTTTATGCATACTTTCAGATACGTTCTACACTTTAAGATTGAAGATCTTGAAAACAATTATTCCGTATATCGCGCAACTTTTCAACGTTGTTGAACAAAATTATTCTACGATATTCAATAGTCGACCTCGAATTTTATTAGCTTTCCTATGGATCCACTCATGCTAGCAAGAACAGATCTATTGTTTTCGTAGACAAGAGTAGGAGGGAAGTGGAGAAGGGCTGGAGAAAATAGATCGACCACGACCACGAGGGCCAATTTGCAGGCAAACAGAACTCGGAGAGTTCTCTGCCTCCTCCTAGTTCTACGCAGCGGTAGTTTCAATCCCGTCTGCAACGATGCGGCTGAATATGCGGCTCGTTTCTTTCCTTTCGTTGCATTATGCAGGGTACCTTCACCTTTCGAGTCTTTCTTGCTACTGTCGCATCTGTTATTGTGAGCGACTTCATTTCACATTCAAAAGTGAGCGGTTTCATCGATGTCGATGCTATCCTATGTAGGCTATCCTCTAAAATGAATACAGAAAATGTAGGTGGGAGGAGACTGATCAAATTTATTTTCAAATTTTTATAACATTTTCTGAGCAAAGATTTGATCAGAAGTTTTTTTCATAGTACTAATGATGAGATTGAAATTTTATATTAAGATAAATTCTGTTTATCTCTAAAAATTAAATTTGCAAAGAACTGCAACATTTTAATTGTTTATAATTCAGGAATTATTATTATCTTTTATCATTTCTTTTTGAATGAAAAAATCAGATGTAAATTTGTTGAACAATCTGTACATTAAAATAACAAATACAAAATCTTAAAATAATCGTCTCTTAAGATTTTGTATTTATCTTTTATTATAATTAATTTCAATTTTCACAAAAACAAACACGTTATTATAAATAACAAGAAAAATATTCCAACTATTTGGAATATTCTTTTTGTTAATTATGCGTTTGTTGTTGCATATGAAAAAGATTGACAAGAATATGCACGATTAGAACAGGAAAGTTTACCTCAAGAAAGTTGCAGATGCAGGTAATGATAATTAAGAGTACCACGAGTCGAGCAAGTCATCTTCGATTTTTACGACTCTTCTTTCCGACGAGTTTTTCTCAAGTGTAAACTTTTTTCCCACTTCACCCCTGTTTTATCCCAAGTACATTTTATGGTACGCACATATGAAACGCGATTCCCATGTACGGCGAGAATAGATAGCCGAGGAAACGCTCGAGTTACCAATACATACGTGTTGGAAACCGGGTACCGGTATCCCATGAGATAATTGCGGCGGTCTGATGCTTCCATGCATCACAGTGCGCGAATAGCATTGCCATACCTTGTAATCGGCGCCCGACAATTATTCTCGTGGAAACGATTGGATTTTTCGATGCATTTTTTGACCTTTGATGAGAGCACGCTAATGCCGTGAGACGCGCGTTACATCAGGAAATCGACGTTTCCAGAGCATGTAATTATCTCTGAAATCGATAGTCAATTCACCTAGTTAGTTGCTTAATAGTACACCGCACTATTCGTTTTAAGAAGAAATGATTTTTGAAGATTTTCAGGAGACACGGTGGTGTCTCGCGCTAAGAGCAGCGACATGTATCGCGAGACCGGCTGTGTTATCTTTACGCGAACCGTCGAATTTTTTATTTTATATACGACCGTAAACCGTAATTTCTTGTTACCGTGCAATAAAACTATTTGGATCGTCAATCTTGAGAATGTTATTTAAGTTTCGAATGTTATATAAACTTAATCGAGAAACTTTAATGTTTAGAAGTTAAATTTCAAAGATATACTTAAGTTGCAATAAAGTAGCAAATTCTTATAATGTATTTTATTTTTAGTGATATTTCAATATGTGTGCTATGCATAAATACTTTGACCAAAAGTAGAAAGCACCTCCACAATTTAATGTAAATATTCCAACATATATCTAACAAAAAATAAATTAAAAACGGTTTTATTGAAAAATAATATTTACTTTTATAACAATTTCAATGTTTTGTTAGTTTTTCTGTAAATTTTATTACCTTTTCCATGAAAATACAATAAATTGAGAGTGATTATGGTCAAGGCAATATTAATTGAAATAAAGAAAAGCTGTTGACAAGGTAATAAATGTTTATTAGTATTTGCAGCGAAAGATTAATCTGCGATTGATAACATCCATAGACGAACATGGAGATAACTGATGCATCCTGTATAAATTAAAAGAGCACGTGTGTAATGTGCGTTTCCAAAGTCGTTCGACTCCGATTCCGCGCAAACATCACGATTATTGTGTTTATATTATTCAGAATAATAACGTTATCGTGTGCGGACTTCGAAACGTATTTCGTATGTTGCCGACCGTGAAATTGTTGGCGTGACAGCGACGGCACTCGTAAATCCTACCATTCAGGACGCACATATCTCTTGATCGCGTGTCTTGTTCAGTCTCGTTGCAACTGTGACAAAATTTACGACTGCATTAAGAGCATGTCGCGCTACGTAATCATTACGTTGAATTATTTCGATCCGAAAAATTGATTCATGGCCTAAAAAAGTGTTAGCATCTAGTATGTTTGAAGGCAAAATTATTTTAAAACATGAATTTCATATTTTTATTAATAAAATGATTTTTTGCACTCAAATTCCATAATAATTAATAATTATATTATAATCGTAATTTTGTTAGTCATTAGCATCGCTTGCCATTTAGTAACAATTCTAAGTTACTAAAACAAAATCTGAAACTTTAGTTCCCAATAAAGAAAATCGTCTCCGCAGCTGTTTTACATTTTATATAAATATAAACCATTAAACTTCGAAATCACTCATTTCGAAATTTGTATGTGTTACGCTATTATCATCATTCCACAAGTTTCTAGTGTTTAAGGAAAAATCTCCTCTCAGGACTATGTTCAGATTCTCACCCAAGTGTTTCCCCAGGTGTGTTATTTTTGTTAAACAATAGGTAAACAAGGATAAAATGATCATCCCGATTCTGTAACTTTTAACGACAGTACATAATAAACGCAGTTGATTTTAAGTATATTTAAAATATCCTTTTTACATGTCAACATTTTAGATGATTTCTCTTAAAATATAATTTTTAAATTATTCTTCGAAGGTTTATGTGTTCCGCCATCCTTCGGGGTCGTAGCTGAAGCGCGAATGGAATTTCCGCGTGGGAACCGACTCTTACAGATCGCGATCGTCTTCGACGTGCTCCTCCTCGGAACGACTGTAGTTGCTCTATTCTGCGTTTAAATTGGCTCGGTTCGTTAAGCGTAATTAAGAGCCAGCTGGAGGCGCTTGCGTTGAATATAAAATTTCATCTTGCCACCCTTGAGTGCAGCGCTACGCACGCTAAACTCGTGCTCTGTAGTTTCACATACACGCGGCGTTGCGTGCAACGGCCGATTAACTGTCTCTTTCTCTTGAAGGCGTGGATTAATTTCTTTGATCCCACATATAAGTGACTACATTCGTGTTACCTCAAACATGTAGTTGTTAATTGCTAAGAGATGAAACGTGCACGCTTCACAATCGCGTGTATTGCAGGGAAAGCAACAGATAGCAGGGTGGATTGATAAATAATGAGCTCTTATGCTTTGCAATGACCAAGCATGATGCTTGGCGGACGCAGATATGACTCTATTTCGATTTTTCTCAAGAAGACAACGAATATTGTCGACGTAGAAATAACCGCGTCCATTCAGGAAAGCACATTCATTAATTATTCATCAACGGACGATCGCATACGCTCGATGAATCTGTCGTTCCGCTCGAGCGACACGTTTACGGATTATCGTTAATGTAAGACGACGGCTCATATATGATTCAGGATGCACGACAATTTTGTCTCTTTGACTTACACGTGAGATGCGTACATAATTGAAAGCCGCTTGTTGCGCATGATACAACGCAAAAATTATCCCGTAAATGGACAATAAATATATAATCAGTCGATAAATTCGAAGTGTTTTCGGGTTTACGGAATATCTACGTATTGTACGTTTTGGAATAGAAAGGTTAAAATAGTTAAACCCGTATCTCCAAAAACTCGTTGTATCTTAAAACTATGCTTACATAATTGGTTCTAAAAAAATTTGTTAAAGAACTCCTTACTTTGTATACATATATCTGCAGGATAGAGCGACAATGACCAATTCTCTTATATAGCAATCAGTGTATTGGGGTCGTTAATCCGTAGTGGCACAGTTACGTTAGGCACGACGGGAATTGCAATAAAATCTTACGATTATATGCTCAAGCATTACTCGTCGGCAAGATTTGCCGATTTTCTTTCGAATAATATTACGCACGTCATCTAACTTGAGGCGCACGGTACGCTAACGGTGTATACGCGTGCAACGGATGCCGTGTCACCTTGCGGTGCTTAAAGCTTGCAGTCGCGAATCTGCTGCGAGTATATACGCATGATTCTATTTTCATTTCCACTTCCACCGTGAGTACTGACAATGAGATAAACTACCGACTTACTAACCGATGTTCAGTGTTCCTCACGGTCGCAAACGACGAATTACTGTATTTTTATGAAAAGAATCGCTGTAAGAGAGAAACAAGAAAAAAGAATATATTACGAAATTTTATTAAGAAAGACTATATATATGTATATATATATATATATATAAATGATGTACAAAAAGCTCCGGATCCCTTAAATATCTTGAAAAGTAAGCATTTCCAAAAAAAATGTTTCATACAAAAGTATATTCTAAAAACAGATCTTACATTAATTTCGCAAGAAATTTTGCAAAAACATATAGATAAGGAATCTACTCCCACGGTGATACCCATGGGTATAAAATATTTTTGCAAAATTTCTTGCGAAATTAATGTAAGATATTTTTTTTAGAATAACTTTTAATATTCTAAAAAAATATCTTACATTAATTTCGCAAGAAATTTTATAAAAATTGACTTTTTTTCTCATATGCCTGATGGTGCGCACGCTGGTTGTATACGGTCATATGGGACCTACGTTGATTTCGAACGACGATTTTCTTGTTAGAGAAGTTTTCTGGCAAAGATACTCTCGATGGTTTGCCATTGCCTGTCGAGAGGAGCTACGAGCTTTCGAAAAATTGTTTGGTTCTGCCTGGAATCGAAACCCGGGATCTCTAACATAACAGTCTCGTGTCGCTACGCCACACTCGCACTCGATCTTATCATATACTTATTATATATTAAAGATATTAATTTATATTAATATAATGTAAATTCTACATATTGACTTTATTACAAATTAAATGATAAAGGCTCCGAGTCAATGCAGAATGTTAAGTGCTAATAAATGAATTTTACACTCAAAAAAAGATATCTAATTGTAAAGTGAAATTTCCGGTAACCTCATATTCTAAGCAGAAACTTTTATAGAAAGAGTATTCCTCTTCTAATGCACTGGACTATTCATCAAAAATGTATTGGAAATTATTCTAACAGTTTTCCTATTGTATGAAGAGGAATATATTTACTGAAAGCGGAACGCCCTCTTACGAGTAAATTATATTAGGAACCGCAAGATTTTTACTGCACAGATGCAAAACGAAAGTACTCTAACTGTAAGAATATTGTGCTTAGCATATTTTCCTCTTGATTTCAGAAGATTCCTCTTGAGGCCGTATATAAGAATAAAATCCTCTAAAATTTAACGATTTCTGTTAATATTAAAATTTTTTTTTTTTTGGTGTAATATTACAATTATTTCAATACTAAACGTTTCGACCCTTATTAGGTCATCCTCAGTCATTTATTAGTACTTAATATCCTGCATTGACTCGTAGTCTTTATCATTTAATTTGTTTAAAAATGTTGAGTCTAAGTATATTGATTTTTAGTTTTGAATTTATTAATTATTAAATTATTCAATAATTTATAATTTTTATTATTATATTAAAAATTCTTCTTTTTTCCTTTCTTCCAGAATTTTAATAGGTATTTAATTAATACACGGGTATATAAACATAAAAAATTTGGCTCATTTGCAAGCCTTCCATTAAAGTCTAAAAAAGTTCTAGTTTCTGTCGTAAAATTGGGTCACTAAAAGAGACCAGATATCATCTTCTAAAAGGGAGAACTTTTATCATCTTCGACTTTCTTATAGAGATTGGCCTCATCCTCACCTACTTCGACGAGCGTAAAGCTCGGTGACGAGTGCAACCAAAATCGGGAGTGTGAGATCGGCATCGCTAATAGCCACTGCTACTTGGGTTATTGCCGATGTCAGCCTTTCTTCGCCGGCTACAATGGAACCCATTGTCTCGAATGTAAGTTCGTCCAAGTACTCTTTTATTTCCTCCAACTACAGTTCTCTTCTATCCTGTTAGCCGAAATCAATGTTCTTAAACGTTCACTTTACAGTAAGAAAATTTCGAAGACTGCCCAGAATATAAATATGGGGTGTATCAGAAGAATTAAAAAAATGCTTAGAAATATTTTGTTGTTACTTTAAAAAAAAGGCGCTTTCATAGATGTAAGATTTGTTGCTTGTAACGTTATAGCAACTCTACTGGGTAACGATTGTCTCGTGAAGGAACAATGCTCTTTAAAAGTGGCGAACAGCAGCTGTCTCGAGAGTGTATGCAGATGCGAGGAGGGACACTTGCAATTTCGCAGACATACCTGTCTAGGACGTAAGTACATTTTGATCGACGTATCTTAATAAAGAGTGTTAGATTACGTGTTGCAAAATTATGTAAATCAATAAAAACCTAAGTACATATCTTTTATATTTCTATTGAAAGATCTTTCTATTCCAATTCAAATAATAGCAGCTTCAATTATTCTTATCACGAAATTGCGCATTACTTCAACCCAATTTATATACATATATCATTTGTATAAAAGACTTGACATTAACACCGGCACACTACCGTGTCTCCTGGTCGACGAAAACGGAAATCTTATTAAATAATTAGAATACTGAATCCAATTCTAATAAGTATTGAGTTAAAATACTTGGAATCCATATCTGAATTCAAGCTATAAAAAGCCGAATTGAAGTAAGATCTTCACGTTGGAGAGAAAAAGAGAAAAGAACCGTGCAAGAAGTTCAACTAAAAAGAACAGGTATTAGAACCGTGCAAGAAGTTCAGCTAAAAGAACAGGCTTATATTTAATCGGTATATTAATATACGATAATGCGTCGATAAGTACCGTATATATAAATAAGTAACCTGTTCATGTTCCTTGATGTTACCGTTGGTAGCTCTTCACGTGACATTAAGGCGGTCATTAGCGACGTCGAATAACATACATGTGTGAAAGATCGTTGATGGAAAGGATGAATAGCCAAGCAAAGCGTATCCTGCGGAGAAAATTCTAATTTATGTGAGCTTCTTCTTCTCGGCTCACCGAACGCGATACGCACATTAAGTTAGTATACCTTGGAAATGCATTCCGAAGATCGTATACTCTCTTTCGTTTTCTCTTGATTTATCGAGAGTTTCGATCGCTGACAGGCGCTTACTGCGCCATTTTCAATGCCGGGATCACCGCGATTTCTTGCACTAACGATCTCAGCTATTTATTGTCATCGTAAAAGTATAATATCGAAGATACCGTCGCGAATAGAATCGTCTTATGTAGAAGAAACAATAATACGTGTTTATTTATTGACAGAAATTTTATATTTGAAATTATGCAATAATATTTTCTCACAAATATTCAAGTATAAATTATGTATGAATATATAAGATGCTTCTAATATTGGTGTGATTCTTTAAAAAAAAAAGATTATGAAATAATTGTCAAAAAAATTTTATAAGTAGACTTTTGGTGTGTCTATATGGACTCTCCATCGCCCCGATTGTGGTGGCTATTGTATTATTAAAGATTACAGGCATAGTTTGCTCCGAATCTGTTAATATAGACAAAAAGTTTTATTTTTTTCTGTAAATGTAACAATAACGTATCTTTACAAACTAGATTGACTCGCAATGTACGCAAATTCTTAAATTTAGAAATAAATCTAATTTGCAGCGGCTAAACTCGGTGAGGTATGTTACGAACATGCTCATTGCCGTCTCTGGGATCCCGAATCTCATTGCGATTTTCTCATTCCGGATTTATTCGGCCGCTGCCAATGTACCGCTCCGATGCGTCGCGAAGGCGACGTATGTCGACTTGACAGTCTCGTGAGACCTGCACCGTTTCCGCAGCATCTGCCTCCCACTCAGGAGCCGATAGTAGAGGACGTCACTGACATCGAACGCAATAAGGAAACTATCACCGAAGGACAAAAAAGCGAAGCCGAAGAAGAACAAGATACAGGTATGCCTAATTGAAATTCTGGACTGAGGTATCATATGGTAACGGATCTAAATAATGTTATTTAGGTCCGTTATGTTATAAAATTTATAAATAGTGTTAGTTCTTCTATATAAAAGGTGCATGCGCAAAAATTAATACTACACTTTTGTATTGTAAATAATTTTTTTAAACATGATCAAATAAATATTAATATGTCAAAATTAATGATCATGTAAAAAGAGTGTGTGCGCGAGAAAATGTTTTTCATCCAATTCATTCTAATCACTATCAGTCTTATGTTATCCATCTTAAAATCAATAAATTTTTTACAATTAAGTTTTTTCGAGATTTTTTTTGAGTAATAAAATGTTTGACTAATTGCATTTATTTCATATCTGTTTTTTTCAGTAGAAATCGTTCTATTGTGAACAGAAATTAGTTATGCAGTTTCATTAATTATATACATTTAATGTAGTAAAAACCTTCATATAATGTAATGTAGTAAAAAACTTGTATTTTTTTTTTCTTGTACACAAATAGAGCTTTGAGATTATCATATAATTAGGACTGTATTTTAAATTGTACTGCATTTAAATTTGTATTGCATTAAATGTGTGAATTTGTAACGAGTTAACACGTGATACCTGATTCCTTCATAAGTCATTTAACATTCCCATGGAGTAATCCGTGAACGTGCACGTTGTACGGGAATTGTATCAGACTGCATCATCGCTTCTCTAAGTTTCACGGGCCTTTTATCCGATAATCTGCTTTTCCGTGTGTATACGGATGCAACGGGAATTCGCGAGACCGAACGGTTTGTATTCCGGCCTCGAATAGATTAACGAAATGAAGCATTCGTATTCTTAATTAGAACAATCATTAACAAAATACGACATTTTTTTACAAACGCGTAAAAAAGAAAATCTATACTGAATCACAAGCGATCATCACATGCGAAATCTTATTACCCTTCATTATCACTTTTACAGATTTTTTTAAATACATTAGATAATAATGAATGTGATTATTAGCTGATATTGTTAGCTGATTATAAACGAACTTTTTTAATATTTTCTTTTTTTTTTGCATAGGCGTTCAGATATCTTGGTTAAAAAATGCATCGATGCTTCTATCGACGGAACCTCCTAATCAATTAATACCGGTAAATTTGGTGACAAGGCCATCGAGTTTAAGACCTGGATCCAACAATCGTCCCGGACCAAACGAGCTTCCAGATGATGATGATACTGTCGTTATCGAAGCAGAAGTTACCGAAGAACTCTCTCATGTTACAACGACCTCGACAACTTCTGGTAAGAGAGAAAACGTTCTTATATTAAAAAAAATATATTTTTTACTGATAAAGCAGAGAATTGAGAGAAATGAGTTTGTTATTAGAACAAAACATGATAACAAATGTGATGATTCGATAGGAAAACGAATCGATAAGTTATTATTATTACGAATTGTTTCTCATTATTCGTCTGCGTAACAAATAATACACGATTTATACGATACAAATCATATTTGCTAAATCGTTGTTTGTATATCTTTTGCAAATAATCAGTATTGCTAATAAATAAAAATCTATCCAGCTATTTCGAACGGAGGTAGAAAGGAGATTTCAAAGATCACAATTTTTAACAAAAAAGGAAGATAAGTCCAGCAATTTTAACAGAAGAACAATCACTATAATTTATATTACAAAAACAGAAGAACTTGTTAACATTAGTTTTGAACAATTTCGGTAAGTTTAGATCGACAGCCCAAGTAGTACACAGCGTTTACAAAGCGTTAACAAAGCGCTATAAAAGCGTATATAATCGCTTTTTAGCGTTTTACAAGCGCTGTTGTGCTACTTGCGAGAGCACAGAGTACAACGGCACACCTCTCGTGGCGACGATTTTCTCACACACAACAATGACTCGTCTAAAGCCCTAGATTTTATATTACGGAGGTTTAGATTCTAGAAACTTGACGGTAACTGGAGGATCCGTTTGCATTATTTTTCTAGAACGGTACAAAACCGAGTTTTGTTTTACGGACGTTTATTGTGGTCGCTACTTTGCATGATTCGCGGCTTAGCTTTTCGTGGAACTAATTAATTAGCATTCGTAGGGTTGCGCCGATCTCGTCGACTGTGCCACGCTAGTTTCGAATCGCGAGATGTACATACGTGATGAGCATTCGATAATTTCGATAATCATTTTTTATCGTATTGGTTTTCAACACTAGCAGATACATGGTCTATTACTAATAACTGATTGCAGACTAGCATCAGTCTCTATGAGAGAAGAATCTTGTATTCGTTTTCAGTACCGACATTCGTTGTCACTATATCTACAAATTATTTGTGGCAGGTATTAATTGCTCGTTAAATTAACAAAATCTTTTTTCTCAATGAGCGAAAAATAAGAAAAATCGCCCTAGGCATATTTAAAGCGGTCAAAATTGGCGGATTAAAGTGTCGCAATCTTGATTCTCGCTTGATACCGTAATTCAATCTGACTTTTTCTGTCTTTTAGCGCCAATAAAGACAGACCGTCATGAGAGTACGATAATGACGGCAATCAGCTTGGGGCTACCGTGCGTTGCCGATTTGGAATGCCGTATGGCTGATCAAATGTCACGATGCATCGGCGGCGTATGCGATTGCAGTTTTTCGACGAACAGCAGTTGCAACGCGCGGCGGACTGGCTGTGCGCCGGGCACGTTTCAGTGCCGGTCATCCGGAAGCTGCATCAGCTGGTTCTTCGTCTGCGATGGCCGCGCCGATTGCGCAGACGGCTCTGATGAAGAGTGTACCGGTCTTCGTTGCCCGATGCAGGCATTCAGATGTAACGACAGTAATGTCTGTATATCAAGATCTGGAATATGCGACGGCAATCGCGATTGTCCTAGTGGCGAGGATGAGATTGGTTGCAACAATCGGCGAAGTTGGTATTTCTGTCTCTTTCGCATTTTTTAAAGTATTTATAAACAATATAAAAATTCTAATATTTTTTGCGATATACAATTCCAAGCCAAAAAAAAGTTTGGGAATATTTTTTATTACAGTCGAAATTTTAATTATTTAAATATCCACAACAATAAGTTTTTTAACAATAATTTTTTATGTTTAATAACTGTTATTGGAGTACAGGTACTTACACAGAAGATGGAGAAACATGATTATTTATACTTTCGAAGGAGGTTCTTCAGCCTTTTTACATAATATAAGGATTTAATCAAATGTTTCATTGAGAATAATTGTAATTAATATGTGTAGGCATTCCTGAATTCTTTTAAAATTTTTTGATCGTACAGTTTTCTTTAAAAGATTTTCTAAAATAACTTAAATTCTTATGAAGGAGGATTTTTAATAATTGTAATAAAATATAAGAATTTTGAAAAGTCATATAGATTTAAAGATAAGGAGTTTAGAAAACATTTTAGAATTAAAAAACTAAAGTTTCACTGTACCATTTTTGTGTAAGAGTATGAAATATTCATAAATTACTCCATTCTCTTTAAATATGATTTTACACTACTGAAAACGTGGCAATGTCGATTGTTTTCACAATTATAAATATCTGAATTAAATTTAAATAAGTAACTTTTCTTTAAAAATCTTCTACATAAATATTTATTATCATAAAAGAATTTTTTTAATAACAAATTATAGTTTTACTGCTTAAATTTTATTCATTATTTATTTTTCAGAAGACGATAATGGCATTTTCCATCTTTTATGCTCTCATGTTAAGATAAGAAAAGTCACGTGACTCCCCTTCACTTTTTTAAGTTGGAGAATCTCCAGAATTTTTTTCATTTTTCCTGCTATATTGTAGTAATTTATATTTTATTATAAAATAAAAAATTTTTTTCGCACTTAAAGAGATACTAGCGTGAATAGAAGGCAATGGTCACTAATTATCATAAATTGCAGTACAATTAAGAGCTAGCTTTATAAATTGCAAAATTTTTTTACGAAATTAAAATACGCACAAATAAGAAGTATTTCGCAAAAAAATGCACAAAAATAAAAAATTCACTTATTTTTAACTCGTACAGCTATTACCTGAGGTTAAAGTTTGCTCAATATAAAAGTTCTATAGTTCATATATGAGTAGCATAAGTGGAGATTACTTGAAGATTGAAAAACCTAGAAAAAAAAGTTTAAACGTAATTTACGTGTATACATGTTAGAAAAGATTCGGAATAGTAAATAGAGCAGTAATTGTGTCTAGCAATAGGTGCTTGATCTTGCAAGAGATGGTGTTGCAATGTTAGATAAAAATATGCATTTGAGTGAGACAGAACAATAATGTAATAGATCAATTAAAGGTATCACTATTAACGATATTTTTAATTTGAAATTAAAAAAGTCTGTGCTGTCGATCAAATCCGGCTGTCGCGCTAGCAATAACTTGCAGCATTTCCTTAAAAAATTTTCAAAGTAAAATAGATATGAGCAATAGACATAATTAAAAATTAAAGCGATCTCTTAACAGAGTTATAGGAATAGTTAAATGATTCGTTAATATAATTGTTATTGTATATTCTACTTTTCTGAAAAAACACAAATGTTCTGCCTTACGCATTCCACGTATTCGTAATGTTTTACTTTAATACATACGTAAGATTTCTTGATCTATACAGAATGTCCCGAAGGTACGTTCAGATGCAACAATGGTCAGTGTTTGCCAGCATACGAATTTTGCAACGCAGTAGTTTCCTGTAGGGACGGCAGCGATGAACCCAAGGGAGCATGCAGAACGCGGAATCGTGGTCGAATCACCGCAAGATACTGTCCGTTCAGATGCGACAATGGAAGATGTCGTTCTGATGCGATAACTTGTAGCGGTCGAGATGGATGTGGCGATGGTTCCGACGAGAAACGCTGTAACGTCTGCAGTAAGTACTTTTGTAAAAGAAGAAAGATTTAAGACATGACGAAAAGTGCATTGTAAAGTCTCGGAAGATTCATCTAATATTGTATAAACAAAACAGGATCTTATTTCGAAACGTTACATTTAAACTCACGCAGTCTTTCTTGTGATTTGTATTTTCTGTAGTTATCTTTTGTGTCGTGTCTCTTTTGTAGTTACTTTTGTGTCGTGTCTTTTTAATTTATAACCAAACGAGACGTTCACAATTTGTTGAGAAAAGCATTACCTGTTAAAATTAAGATGGTTCTTTAGAAAAGTGCCGAAAATTTGAGGTGTCGAAAATTTAGTCGCTTTTGACTTTTCGAAGGCATTCGATACAGTCAACCATGATCAGCTTCTTGTTAAGCTTAATTCCCTTGGTCTATCCGTTCTTGCCTTAATGAGTTCCTTCCTTATAAATTATTCCCAGAGAGTTCTCCTGTACAATCCTTTTCCCACTTTCTCTCCTCTCACTGTTGTTCCATCCTTCCCGTGTTGATCCATCTGGAGTGCCTCAAGGTTCCATTCTCAGGCCATTATTATTCACGGCGTTTATTGCTGATCTCGCTTCTATCCTATTTACATCTAAACTCTAGATGTATGCTGACGGTGTAGTTCTTTTGCATTTTTTTTTTATTTATTCGAAGTTTCTTCCGCTTTTATGCTACGGCTATAAACCGTGATCTTCACTTCGTGCCGGAATGGGTTTCGTCAAATGTTTTACATTTGAATCCTTCCGAATGCTTTACATCTGAATCCTTCCTACTTATTGCAGGTTCCTTTTTATTACTGTCTCGTCTTCCTTCTTTCAATATCTGCATTAACTCTGTACTTCCATAAAAATACTTGACATCTATTTTGATTCCTCGTAATGATATCATTACCAAGTGTTGGACTGCTTTCTTATGCTTCCTTCTATATCCTTTTCGTTGCATCGTTTCAACCTCGCAGAAACTCTTTGTATCACAACTTTTTATAATCTTCTCATTTGACTACTCTGATACAGTATTGTATTATACATTTCGAATTTGACTCAACGAATGCTTTAGCGTATTCAGCGTATACAAAACTCCTGTTTTCTTATAACATCCGCAAAGATGACCACATTTCTCCATTATATCTAAACTTCAGTTGGTTAAAAATCCAACATTTTATTCTCCATCTATATTGTCTTGTTTATCGACTTCTTCACTTTAACACTCCGCTTTATCTACGTAATTTTCTTCACTACAATTCCGATTTCCATTCCCGTTTCATTCCAGATACCCGTTACCACAATTATTTATCCTCTCACTTCCATCGTTCCGCCAAATTCAGAGCTTTGTTCTCCTATATGTCAATCAAATAATATATTATGATATGCTACCTTTTTCTATCCACTTTTCCTCCTCCTTGCTTTTTTTCGCGACGAACTCACCAATTTTCTGTTATTAAATCATTGTTAACTTTGTTCTCTTTCTGCAATCTTATTGTTATGAATATTATATTTTACATTTTCCTATTATATTGAAAACATTCGATGTATAAACTTGGTCGTATATTAAATACTATTTACTAGCTCAATTAAATATAATTCAAATTAAATACAAATTCGGAGCTATTCGACAGTCTATAATATGACAAGACAAATATGATAAGCGACCTTATTGATCATATCCTAGACTGTCTCTCTCTCTCCACTATTCATAGTATTCTTCCGGTAGGCCTATATAACAGCAGTTCGTTGCTGGCATTCACCTTTTGTGTATTTAGTTATTTTTGTACCTTTTAATATAAATGTAACTCTGAAAATGTAATTCTAATATATACACAATTAATTAAATTAAATTAAATTAAATTAAATTAAATTGTATAAAGAAATTATGCATTTTTATGATAATTCGATTTACTAAAGAATTACCTTAATGGCCACTTACGGGATAAAAAAATATCTTTGAAACAAACGTGAGAGATACTTTTTTTCCGTTATTCCAAAATAAATAAATAAACAAATAAAGCGCTTGCTTACAAACGCGGTTTTCTTTCCCTGGAATTTTTATTCTCAGCAATTGCGATCTTATTTATGTTGTACATATATCTTCAAAATATCCAGGATAACCGCGATTCGACGCATCAAAAGGCCGTCGTTAGATCCGTGCGCTTCCTAGAATCTAATGCGAAGTCACGCTCGCGTGTAATTAGAGCGGGATGCATCGATTACGTTACTATCTTCCACAATAATCTCTACACGCATCCGGAAGAATACAGTAAGAAATTACATAAATGAATGAGTCATAAATGAGCGTGTATATCTTGAGATGGAAATAATGCACGCGCGCGATTCGTAAGCATTGTCCATGCAGATTGCTTTTGTGCAGCTGTTTTATGCAACCGAGATAAGAACGACCATTCTTATAAACAATAGTCACTTATAGCAGGAAATAGTAGAATATTTGCAGGAATAAAGAAACAAAAGAAAAGAAGAGGCATTTAAGATTATTTTAGGGGAAAACAATACACTATTAATAATATTTTGATTCTTTTATATGGCATTTCATATATCAAACAGTAAACAGAAAACATGTTCTTATATATTATAATAAAACATAATTAATTCCCGTAAAAGAATAATGTTTTGCTGAATAATCTGTCATTAAATTAAATTAAAAAAAAAAAAAAAAGTTAACATGTGAAACCAAATTGGAAACTCAATTTTTAATTCGCTTCTGTTAAAATGAATAGCTAAATTCATTGAAAAACGTGTGACGTCGAACGTTTTTGAATAAACGGTCGTAATCCACTTCTTTTCGAACGTTAATTACTCATTGCTCGCAGCTTATCATTCTTAGCGTGGGTGTATTGTTCTACATTAATGCTCGCGACAGGACGTCGATTATCAAACTGGCATGTTGCAGGATGCGGAACAACGATCTAATCTCGACCGGCCGATCTTCTCGCCACATCGTCCAACGATAGAAAAAAAGGAAAAGAGAATGAAAAGAACAGAAGCAAATTACCAACTGGCTTGTCGACAGGTTTCGTGAAATAAGTGTTCCAGAATTGAGTAGATATGAGCGTAAAAGTAAGTGTGAGACCAAAGATCGCGTTAAGCCGTATCGCGGTGATTATAACTTTCAACGCTCCACGATTTTGAGACTGAAAAGACCGTTTTTACTCAAGCCGGGTAGAACTTCGGCATCCAGAACGAACAGAGGTAGAGTGAATTTTCCGTCGCGCCTCTTGCGCGAGATCTCGCATTAACTCGAACCGGGCCAGTGACCGCCGCTGCGCTGTAGCGAGTCGCGATCTCAGAAGGAATGATAGCGCTCATGTAATAGGCTATTGGAACTGAAAAACAATTGTTATTTGGAACTCATTCTTTAGTGCAATTTCATTGATTCATAGGATCATTCGACATGTAAATAGGGTAAAAAAGGTGCTATTAAATTAAGCGTTTTCGAGATATATTAAAAATAACGAAAAATAGCATTTTTTGATAGACTCCATATTTGATTGACTCCAAAAAGTAGCTTGATTTGATAGCATTTTTTTATCTTATTAATTATATGATCGTACGAATCAATAAAATTACGTTAAAGAATTAGTTTTTTTTTAAATCTCCAAACAATAGGCTATAATGGTACTTAATCGTCGTTATATAATAATACCGTAAAACGGGTACAGGTTGCACCAAGGGATAACTTCGTCGCCCTGCGAAGAATAAAAACATGTACTCAGGTTCTTTTTCAGGATTATCTCTGACAATATTTGATAATAAAACAATAGAATATTGATAGAATACTGTATGTTTGAGGTTCCTATTTTAACAAATAAATTTTTAACAGACAATATGAGTTCAAATTTAGATGCAAGGATGTTATGATGACACTATTTTTTTTAACAGATGAATGCTATTATAGATTGATTAAAATCATAAGATAAATCCTGAGTATCATTTCATATGTCTAACAAATAAATAAAAATTTTGGAAACATTAGATCGCTTTAAAACAAAAATTTCATGTTTTGAGTTTTTAGTTTCCGTGCTAGTCATATGTCGCATCGTATGATTAACACAGAAGACGCAATATCGTAAATAAAATGTTATTAAAAACATGTATACTCCCAGTAAACACAATGTTACATGTAACATGAAATGTCAATTCAACAAGATAACTGTAATATAACACAGTGTATTATATTACAATTATCTTGTTGAGCTGACATTGCATGTTACATTTACGTTACATGTAACATTGTATTTATTGGGCTGATAGTATCAATATATATTCATTTAAAGAATATGTAGTTCAAAACTATAATAAATGTAAAACGAATTGCATATATTCAGATTCAATATTATCCAGCGAGATATACCAAATTAAGAATACGTTTTCCTTTTTAATCAGGGTTGGTTATACGAACAATATCAGACAGTGTGGTTTTTTAACCTGGTTTTAATCGCCTTGATCAAAATTGATTTTGAGCAAAATTTAGTAATAGATTTATTTTTCCCTGTATTACGTTAACGTATTGTACTTTTTAAGCAAGGCGAGCTCAGAGTTAAGATAAAGAGAGATTAAAACCAGTTTTGACCACTGACTGGATCAAAATAAAAAAGGAGTGGACATTTGTCAACCCTGGTTTTATCCCCGACGCACTTTATTTATTAAAATAGATATTAAAAGAATTGATATTTTATAAATGTCAGAAATGTATAAATCATATAAAATTTTTGAGGCAATAAGACTAATAACAAATACTTTTGTACAAGTTTGTATTATTGTCAGTTACTGTTTCGACAGGACACCTGACATGTTTCGTATATTTATTTTGTAATCTATATCGTACGTACCAAAATATGAAATAAAATGTAACTTAATAAATTTTAATAAAATATAAAAATATGTTTTTATTATATATGTATCGTTATAACAAAAATTGTCGTTCTGTTTATATGAACTTAATACAAAACTTTTGTATTAAGGAAACATCCACGTCAAGTGACAACTCTACGAGTTGAATTAAAAATGTAAGTTTTTAACTTTTTTTCGATTTTAATATAGAGTCCACTGCAGCACCTTTCAATTTTGTGTCTAATACTTTAATCCTGTAAAAGGATTTTTGATTCTGTTCTGTAAATTCGAAGATTTTTATCGATTTCAATGTCTCAACAATTTGGTCACTCCCCTTAAGTAATGAATGCATTTTACAGTATGTAGTAGCAAGTGTAAATAGTGTGAACCTTGTTAGCGGATCATCGATAATTTGTATTGAAAAATGCGGCAACAAAGGTTGTATTATAAATTGTTTCATTACATCAGTGGCCTACTTTACACTATACAGACCTTCTAATAAAGCTGCATTCCGTTGCATGCATAATGCGCATATCATTTTACCTTTGTTGTTCGCAGAATGTTAAACAAGGATACATCATGCACATTATGCGATTAACGGAACGCAGCCTCAGAGTCGCGACACGAGCCGATTTGAGCCGACTTTTGTATTCAAGGTAGTAGTTTCAGAGTAAAATCTATAACAGAGAGAGAAATATATTGTATCTCTGTCTAACCTTAACACGTCTCTAACTTAATCCTAAACCTGCAGTAACGGAACACGTGTACTTACGTTGTATACGTACACGTGTAAAAAATATGATAGTAAATCAATAGCGATGCATAATATATTTGTAAAATAAATGTATAAACAAATTTTATTTTCTTTATTTTTTACATACCAGAGTATTAATTGTGTGTCTTGAAACGTGTGAAAGTTATAGAATTGAGTAAATTTATTAGATATTAATGAAATTATAAGTATTCTAGTGAATTTATTCACACTTTCATAATTTTAACTTCGTTTCAAGATACACAATTAAATCTTTAAATTTTCAAAATAATTTTGTTAAAAAAAAGGCGTTAAACTAAACAATTCTTCTCGCATGCATTATTTCGACACATAAATGTAAAGAAATTTATTTGTTAATATCTTTAAAATATTTAATTTTAATTATATTATTGAAATTTAAAAGTAACACGCGAATAGGTAAGCAAGTATAGAGCGGGAATTTCTGAAACAATGGTGTATCAATCAATCGCGCGGCTTTCTCATGTCGTGATTCTTATTATAGAATCTCTAATTTGCACCGTATGTGTTAAGGCTGTTACAGCTAGATTAATTAAAAGATACCTACAGATTAAACAAAGGTGCGATACCTATTGTATAGCGGTCTAAACGTACAGTACGTGATATACGACGCGTATAAAGATTGCTTTGACTAACCGCGAATAAAATACAATATAAAATAATAAAATTAATATTATTAAATAAAAATTGATTGATTAAATACATATGTGTAAAAATATTAGGTCAAAATGGTTTTTCATGTTTATAATAATACTTTTTGTGAATTTATCCGAACAATTTCCAGTTTAAGCAACCGATTATTTGTCCATCTTGAACAGTCTTGAACCGAAGCTGGAGCAGTACTACAAATTAAGTTGACAAGCAATTTGATATTATTGATGCAGGTTCGAATCTCGGCTAAAGTAATATTTTTTGCAATAAAATTTACAGATTTTTAAAGATGCTTTATTATCATTAATAATATTAAACTGTTTGTGACATTAATTAATTTGTGATATTATTATTCGCGAGCAGTACGCATCTTCGCTGACAAAAGGCCGCAGTAAAGATGCATTAATACTTAAATAAGAATCACATAAGAAAGAAAATAAAGAGAGCAGCATTCGGTCTGCGAAATGAGCCTTCAAAATTGGACATGTGCTCCAAGGTACATGAAATATGTTTCTGACAGTAAAATTTTATTTGAAAATTAATTCACCGGACCTGACATTTTTAGGAAAATTAAAATTTTGTGGAATATACAGGGAATATTCTCCGAATATGAAACGATATATGAATAGAACATTTATCGATTATTTGTTGCTTTTACATTCTGTAAATATTTCGGAATATTCCAGAATACTCTTGGAATGTTGTGTTAGGATTTTAGAAACATTTTACACATATTTCAAGAATGTTTAACGTTAACTGGATTAACTTATTTATTTATTATTATTTTAATTATGAGCAGAGTCCTATTAGTTTAATTAATAGATATTATAAATCTTTTGAATATCCAAAAATATAAAAACTATGACATCATTCTATGCGGTGACATGATTAGAATAAAAATCTTACTACACCCGATGCCTTTATGCAATCAAATGTCGGTCGTTATTTATGCGGTTGATGCTGGTCCCGGATAATTCTGCGACTGCGTGTCTGGCTTCGCTGGTGCTCGTCGATAACTATCCGTACGATATATCTCAGAACAGCGTGCACGTGTTGCAGCAGGTACGTATTCTATCCAACAAGCAGACTTGAAGACTATTCTGGAAATTATTGCCACGTAATAATAATGATCTAAATATTTTTTGACTTTTAAAATCAGCAGTGAAACTTCAACATTCTGTAGAAAAAAGAAATTTTGTATATCTATAAATTTTTAAATCATGTTTTCCATTTCGTATTTTTGAACCTTTGAGAAACGCTTTTAAATTATTAAATATTACATAAAAATAAAATTGTAAACAATCGTGATGGAAGTTATTGATCGCATCGCGTAGTGTTCGAGAGTTAATCTTATCGACAGGGGTACCATATATGCTTTAAGCACTATACGTGCGCAGTTTTTGTAGGATAAAAGTTAAATTAAGTTAGGATTTAATTAACTTTTGGCCATAATTCGCTTTTTTCCTTACCACGTTCCGACTTTCAATCTCGGATCATTAGGGCGCAGACCGAAAGCAGTTGAGATCTCATTTTTCATCCCGTTAACGTCGAAAATTCGCGACGCAGAAATTAACTGGTATCTACTTATTAATGACGTGAATAGAGGATTAATGGACCCTGTATAGATCTTTTTATTATTTCGCCTTACTTCTTCATGTTAAATAAAACATGGATGATTAGGATAAGGAAGACATCAACTTAGATTTCATGTATAACTGTGTATGTATAACTGTGATAGTGTTAGGGATCATACAATCCACGAACATGTTAATTAAAGATGAGGAATTCGCGAGCCCAGCGGGGCTTTATTTCGAATATACGTACTCCGAAATTCGTTGGAGATGATCCGGCGCAGCGAATCGATTTACGATCGCATATATACTCACCAACGAGATCGATGTGTGATCGAGGTGCGGGAAAAGTTCCGTTTCTTTCGTCGTACTCGAACCACGTGAGAAACTGCTTCCTTTTCGGAGCGTTCTGGTTTTTGCTCGTGCGGTGACCGATGTTGTGTGCTTCCGCAGTCGCGATTGTGACGCTGCTTCACGGCAAGATTTTCCGTCGTTGACGTAACCAAGATTTCCATCCGCAAGATGGATTATTTACACGGCAGAGAAAAGATAGGTGGAACTCGTTTTGCGTGAAAAGTCGTACACCCCATGGCAGAAGGAGAAGGTGGAAGTCGCTTTGTGTGAAAAGTCTAACGTCCTGAAGCAGAGGGAGAGGTAAGGTGGACTTCCCTTCGCGTGTAAAGTCGTATGCTCGTCAGTATACAGAAATATGACATTATTTTTAAACTTTATTTGTTAATAACTTTTGAACGAACGGTGACTATCTAAAAGTTCTTTTTGATATATATATTATAGTAGTATTTTTTATTATGTTTATGTATTAAGTATTATATGTTATTTTATGTATTATAGTATTTCTGGTTTGAAAATAATTTTATTATTTTTTGTTGAATTAACAGAAGTTATTAATATTCCATTTGGTGTAATGTGTAACCTACCTTAGTAAAAATATGATTCTATAGATTCTGCAAAGAATGTCAAGCAAGCAAAATAATTTTATCGCGAACACGCGTGCATAATGCCGTCAGAGTTTATTTTAACTTTATAAACGTTTCTATATACGCGTCTCATATTTAGCTCCTCTTTTAGAATATTCGATTAACTTGCAATAAACTTTCTTCAAGAGATCCTTTCTTGCCTAAGGAATATTTAAAAAAAAAATTATTTTTAATTTTCATTTATAATTTAAATGTATTTAAAAAATTCATAATTTTAAGCTTTTTTATTAATAAATTGAGACGTATAACTACATGTTTTATCCTTTTATACATTTTATCGTAAATCACTTTTGAATAAAATTGTGGCATAAATTTAGGCAAAATAAGTGTGTTATTACTGCAAGAAAGATTTCTTCAGTTTTTATTTAAAACTTTAAAGAACAAGCGATACGAATTATATTTTTTTACAATTCTTAATTTATTATTTTCTAATCTTTATAATTTCTAACATATTATTTATTACTTATATTAATATTTATAATTTATAACATTTTCGCTTAATTTTTAATTTAAAGATGCAGTCGCTACCGTTTTTAATCGATTTGATTTATGTCAATGGTCTATAATATATGTATATCGCGAAATCGATATCACCTATGTGCTTGTGTTTGTGTAAAAAAATAATTGATACAATATTTTTCAAAAAAACCAATAAATTTTATATAAATTAGAAAATCTGCAAGCGGAAATACTCAATTGCAAGGTTGCATTCCGGTGAGAAGTCGTGGCGCGCGCATCGCGAATTGGGTTGGCAGGCGCAGAGCCGGCAGAGCAGACCGGCGCGGTGCACGAGTGGAGACACGTTGATGGTCGTCATCGACGACGACGACGACGACGACGACGACGGCGACGGCGACGGCGACGACGACGTATGCGCAAATCTCCGTCAGTCAGTGACGGAGTTGCCTGGTTGCAGCGTGGGTGGCACGCGCGCGCGTTGGCCCGGCCAGCTCGATTCGATTAAACTTTGCAGCAGCCCTCGTTCGTCGCGAGCGGGGGTGAGACCTCGTGTCGTGGCTTGTTATATGCCGAGCGTCATTATCCCTTCGCGGGGTATACGTCAGAATCGCGTCGCGGGACAAACGTGACAATTTGTGCTTCTGCATCCAGACTTAATCGGAGGACTTACACGGGAGACTTGCTGCTTCCCATTCGTACGACGTCACGCGGGTGCGAGAGGTAATTGAAAGGAACTTCGCGAGGCTGTTTCTCATGACTGTTCGTGCGCGTGCGAATGTTGAGATAGGTGCGCACCGATTGCGTTCCGAGATATCGTCGTCTTTTGTGCCGAGAGCATGAATGTGCAATGTGTATCTTGTGTATCTTGCAAAATTACGTCGCTGCTATTTAAAAGTTCCGTAGTTTCCAAGATACCAATCTTTGGATTGTCAAGGTTTTCATTTGTTCTTTGAATAAATACCAATTTGTGAAGCTTCAATTGAAATACAAAATAATCATAAAGATAATCAAATTAATCATAACATTTAATCAGGAACAAATTACTGTTGTAAAAAAAAATCAAATTTATCAATTTATCCAAAGCTATCTGTATGTAAAATAGTACGATTCTAATTTTGTATGCAAATTGTCCTAGAAGGAAAACTCAATACTCTATAGGAGGTGATGTTATCTGTCATTTTAATTAAAAGTGTTTATACGAATATTTTTCAAACATCCTGTTTCATTTTTGAGATTTTCGAGAAAAATGTTTATATAAACGCGTGCTCCGTTTCAAATGGTTTTCGAGACTGAATGTGCAGTTGCAAAATTACTGTTAAAAAGAAGATATTATGTACTTTTTCTAATAATTCATTGTTCAAGTAATACACTTTTTAAAGTTTATAATAAATTTTCGAAAATTTAGCGTTAATGAACAAATAAAGTAAGATAACGCTCGTTTGTTTGCAAAGTAAAAATATCTTAATTTAAACGACCAAGAGACGAGCAGATAAAATATTTAAATAAATAAATTATTTGACTATTTAATAAAATAACGACGTACCTACATAATACATATATAAATGCATAAATAAGTTTTGGCTCACAGAGTTTTTATTAGCTTAAAATTAAACATAAATGATAAAAAACTTACAAAAAAATTTTAATATGTCTTTTTTTTAAACCTCAAAATATGAATATGAGATCGAGTTAATAAACCAGATAATAGTCTCCATCCGCATATAATATGGCAATTGAAGATACTTAAATATATCGTGTCCAACGATAAATGTAAGTAGTTAACATCAAAATGTAAAATTCCAATAACAAATTTATCGTTTGATGGCGAAAATCATGTTTAGTTCAATGTATAAAGTATGTTGTCAAAAGTATAAAATTAATTAATCTAGGCAGTTATAAATTCAGATTAAATAATAAAGAAACAATTAACCATGTAAACAAAAATGTTAATAAATTTAGGCAACGTATCGAAAATAAAGATTTAAATTGTCTGGTATTTATTTGTTAGTCGTTTATTGCTAGCAAGTTCCAATAATTGAGTGAAAGACGAATTGTACACATCAAAATATATATGACTTCGGAAGTTACGAAAGTATGTTCGGTAGATAAATATCTCTCGGTTATCTATCATACTATTAGAGTGTTTCGTTGGATATCAAAGTATGAATCATCCAGCGTTTTACGTCATTTAGGCCCGGTTGCACCAACGTTACTTTGACTCTTTAAGCGAGACTTAAAACTCTCTCTAGCTCATTTTAGAACCGAAAAGAGACATAAACAAAGAGAGTTTTAAGCTTCGCTTAAAATTAAAGTAACGTTGGTGCGACCGGGCCTTATACAATTAATTTATTATTTATACAATTAATTTTTTGTTTGTTTCTTTTGTTGTTTTATATGAATTATTTCCATGATCTTTTATGATGTAATGAGTTTTTTATTATTATATTTGAAACCTAAAATTTTAACGTTCTTCCAGTCAAAAGCGTGATTTGTCCTTATCATACGTTCAAATATAACTGACAATGAATGTTAGATGGATCTAACTTTATATTGTTAATGTATTCTTTTAATCTCGTTTGTTTCTTCGTCCTACGTATGAACTGTCGCCGTTCTTACAGTTAATTTTATAGATTAATTGACTATTGCAAACAAATTTATCTTTGTGTATTTTTATAAATTCATTAAGTTAATTAAGAGTACGAAAACCTACTGTGTAGATTTATTTATTATCGACGCTGCTAAGTCGAAAACCAGTTTAAAATAAGGTTCGAAAAACAATGAAATTTTTTTTTGTTGAAGTCGCCTTTTCCTCATTAATCGAACTCTGATGACTTAATATTTTTAATTTATTAACAAATAAATGTTTTAATCTTCTGTTAATGATATCAAAAATAAAATCAAATAACTATTGCCTAATAAGATATCAATACATAACTCAATTTTCTTTTTGTAAAATGAAGAATGAGACAAAAGAATTGAACAATCCACTCTAAATTGGTTCCTATGGCATTTCAGTGGTTTAAGAAAAACAGTAAGTAATGTCCAGAAAAGGTTTCTTTATGGTACCAATTTATTATAATTTTGTTATTTTTGACAATCGAAGAAAAGTTCAGAAAATTAAGACAATGATTTTCTTCTAATTCGACAGTAAATTTTAATTGGTCATGGTAACCATTAAACCTTTCAAGAATATTATTCACTCCTGGAATAACAAACAATTAGATGTCATCGACATAACGAAAATAGATAGGCAGCTTTAACGTACTTAAAATTCTTTCCTCCAAATCTTGCATAATAATATCTGCAATAATTGGGAGAAGAACCCATAGGAGTATTATAGTTGGTTTATAAATTACATTATTAAAAATAAAATAGATGATAATAAAAATTTAATTGTAGATATAAATTTATTTTTGGTAATTTATTGACTTGGTCTAATTTATTAACTTGGCCTTCTATTATTTTATATTTTTAGGTTTTTGATATGTTAAAATTTTTAATATGTTAAGATTTTGTAAAGTTTTTTATCGTTTATATGTTTAATTATGAAGACTGTGAGCTAAAAACGTATTTATGCTATTTATGTATGCTATTTAATTAAATAGAGTTAAATGATATTATGTATGCTATTTAATTAAATAGAATTAAATGATTCACTTATTTAAATATCTTATTTACTCGTCTCTTGATGGTTGTTTAAATTAGGATATTGTTTGTATTTTTCTGTTCAAAACAGGACGCATATTCATATGAATATTTTTGCTTGTAATAACCGATATCATCATCTCTCATTATCAGAATATGTTGACTTTTCCTCTTGAGACACCTTGAATGTTAGACTCATTCTATATTATTATGCAGAATTAAATTTTGATTTATTCTGCCAATTCTAGCAGCTTCTTTATTTTCTCGCAATCTTCTAAAAATACGCTAAATACGCAAGACTATTTATTTATCTATGTAAACCTATTTCGTTCTTTGAATTTATGAAACAGATTAATGTCGCGTTTTACATTTTAACGTTACTTTCGTCGACTACTGTACGCAACAATCCGCATCATTCAATGTCCGATATTCAATTATACATACACCTACACTTCCTACGGAGGAAGCATATGGAGGAGATTCATTTTTTTATCTCACCATCCGCTCTCCGTTTATGAAGTATGATATTATATATCTTCATTTCAAGGCCTTTTGTGTTTTTACTATATATGGAATATAATCAAATGAGGGGAGGGGGAATTTTTTTATTCAGTTCGCGTTGGGGATAGCTATAATATTATTTCAAATATTAAATTATTGGATAGCATTAATATCATTCAAATATCGGATTATCTTAGTAATAAAAATATCATTGTGATTTATAGTTTATTCTAGAAATCCTCAAGAGATCGGATACCGTTTAGATAAACTCTGACTGATTCGTCATATCTTTCAAGATATGCATAAGATAAAATGAAATACATGGATATCTCATTCTCTATCTTATGCATAATCTATCATTCTATTTTATGCAAGTCCTGAAAAATATGGTGGACCAAATCATGGTCTCCAATCTCTTACTTAAGGCTTTCTAGTTTATTCTAATTATTTAAAAAAATTTCTTTGCTCTTTCGGGCACACTAAATATTAGGCCTGGTCTACAATATATGGAGTAAGCTTGGTGTAAGAAGTAAGAGTAAAAATTGACAAATCACAATCGATTATTCTTCTTACATTCGACTGTGATTGATCAATTTCTTACTCTTACTTTTTACACCAGTCTTACTCCGCATGTATCAGACTTTTATACACAATAATAGAGCCTATATTTAACTCGTGAGTATTGAGTAACACCTGTGCATTATGTAAATACATTCCTGTCTCTCGATAAACTACGACTATTTTTATCCTGTCATGCACAAACGAATAAGCGGAAAGTGCGCAATCAAAATTCATATATTGACTTACACGGCACTCTCAGAGTCTTCTTTCGATAACTTTGATTAAGGCTAACAGACGGTTAACTCGCAGTGTAATACCAATAGTTGTCATAGAAGAAGAAGAGAGAAGAGAAGATGTGATACATTGAACTGATGTGTTAATTGGTACTACTGTGAGTTAATCGTTAGATTAGAGTCGTGTAAAAACCTTTATTGCATTAATGACAAAATAACATCTTCAAATTTTTCAAATTGGACGTTTCGATTCATTTTGGAGTCCTTCTCAGCAATAAATTATGAATAATGCGAATTAGTTTATCAATCCATTAATTGGAGTGATTGGTCACTTTTATAACTACGGATATTATTAAGTTTGATTAAGATCTCTTTAAACGACACTTCAATTTGGAAATCTGTGAGTGACTCCAATTAATGGATTGATAAACTAATTCGCATTATTCATGATTTATTGCTGAGAAGAACTCCAAAATGAATCGAAACGTCCAATTTGAAAAATTTGAAAATGTTATTTTGTCATTAATGCAATAAAGATTTTTACACGATTCTGAACATCGTAATCTGTGTTACATTTCATTATCTCTTTAATTATCGCTACTAAATTAGTTAAGCTGAAAGCGAAAGAAAATATTCATTGAACAAAGGAATAAAGATCTTTGATAAGTAAACATAATGTCCTATTTTTGCAACGACATTGACAACACTCGATTTCAGAACAAGGCTCATCATCGAATCAAAGTACTGCGGCTGCTCAATGACCGTCTTCTCTTGTCAAGAGGACGAAGAAGCCGAGGACGAAGACAACAATAATTCACGGAAAGACGGATGTTTATATTGCAATTGGAGATGTTATGCAAGAGACTTGGAAGACGAGTGGCGAACAGTTGAGATGTCCTTCATAAGGGTAAACCAATTGCGAAATATAACGAAATTCATAGAAGTGCGATGCGACTCGCAATGATGCAGAAACACTTTTGATTTCCCGTGACCCTGAGAAAGGCGTGACCACGACAGCATAATGTGGAAGGCGAAATGGTTACGTTTCACCGAATGCTTCTGCCGAAGGTCCGGCCTCGTTCTGGTTTTACCGTGTCTGATCATTATCATCCTTTATCTCGTTTCCGACGACGAATACGAGTACGATGTTCTACAGTATCCGTCCTTCAAGTCGTATAACATCGCTGAAGGTGAGTCTCATCTCTTTGTATTGTCTTACCTCCTCATCATTTGAGTATACTGACGTGCATTTTTGTAACATTAATATAAAACATTTAATATTACAGTTATTATATCACTAAACTGTACAATCGTGTGTTATGCACATGCTGTTTGTTGTCTAATACAGTTTGGTGTACGCGTATATTATTTATTGTTAATATTTTTATATATATTTTACAAAAATTTTATATTATTTATTATATATGGTATTTCATTTTGATCAATGTACTTGAATTTCTCCAGAACAATGCAAGATATTGAAATCCTATTTTTACGATGTTATGTAGTATCGATGGGAACATATTTTGATTAATAAGATTAAACCTTGAATGGAAGAAAATGGAAGCAGATCAAATGAAGGTGAAATTCATTTTTGTAAATGGAAACCTAATTTTTTAAACACCTTCGTAATAGCCATACTCATTATGAGCTTAACGCGTTATGACTCAAGAACATCGAAAATTAAATGGCTAATTAAATGCGAACTTACAATAATCATCCTCGTGTGTATATATTCGAACTACCGTCCCTGATTACGATAGTAGAGGGCAATATAATGTCTAAATAATCACGACACATTTGATAGAGTTGTTGGCGAAATGTTACTACTGATACGCAATAGTGTCACTGCTGAATCAGTAGTATTTAACATTATTGCAATACTGTCAATGCTAGTGTACACTATTAGATTCAGTAGTGTTACTATTGCAGTATGTTACACTATTGGATCCAATAGTAATACTAATTAATATTCAGCACTACTGCAATAATAGATGCTATTACTATTGTCACTACTGTAAATACTACTTGTATTCGCTATTGCAGTACTGATACTAATAGTATTCAGCACCATTATAGTGTAGTGGTACTATTAATATTTACCACTACTGTAGTATTCTTGTTATACTACGTTATGACACTTGTGCAATGTAACTTATATATTATAAAAAGTTCAGAGAAAAATTTAATACTTAAAAATCCATATCACACAGCAATTGATATCGATAAATTCTCTTTTCGATATTTGTAAAATTTATAAGTTAATGAAGCAAAGTTCTCATGTCATTAATCGTCAACTATTTATGATATTATTTTTGAGTAAAACAAATGGTTAAGTAATAAACCTGTATATATATATATATATATATATCCCTTAACCATTTATTTTAATCAAGTATAATGTAATCTAAATAGTTGACGATCAATGACATGAGAACTTTACTTCATTAATTTGTAAATATTTTATATATGATATATTTTTTAATATATCCGAAACATAGATGTTTTTTCCAAATCTTCGTAGAATGTCAATGTACATTCAATGACATTTTTAATATCTTAAATGTTTTCATAGATGTATTATACATAAATACTTTCATTTTTAGTGAAATCGTTGCTTATTCGTTATGACAAAATGCGCACCATATTATCGAAGTCTGAAGTCTAAGATGGAATTATATCGAATTATGTTTGGCGATAGGCATGGTGGATGGTTATCTCGTATGGAATCCGAAATGTCATATGCTGTCCAAAAAGCCTTTGGATCCGTCCATCGCGAAATTCGTGAGGAAGGAAAAACTGGAGAAATGCCCGAACGATCGTGTCCTTTCGCAAATTTCAAGGGAACCTAACGGCAGCGTATTTCTTTCTCTCGATCCCTCCATAAAAACCATGCATAGCGACGTTGCCTGCTGCTGGTCATCCGTAGTCAGGCCCAAAGTGGATAGGCCCAAGAAGGACAACTACGACTCTACGATATCGTAAGATTTATCATCGTCATTCTTTGCATTGAAAGTTTCAGTGTCATCTTAAGACATTCAGGTGCATTTAATCTGCTGAGAAAAAATTAAGGGGCAAGAATTACTTTGTTTATTTATTCACGATATAATATAAAAAAACTGTACCTGAAGAGATCGAAGTCGCAAGCTATTTGGCCTATACGATTAGAATTTTTCCTGGAAAACATTTGCCGATCCTTTCTTCCCAATAGAGTCAAGCAGTGCGAGAACTTCACCGGACAAGTGATGCTTCCACGCGAAATGGAGGTGGCGTACGTATCATGCAAGGTGAAGGCGAAATCGAAACCCAAAGCGAAGACGAAGAATACGAAGCTGTCAACTAATACGGTGTATGAGAACGTTCACGCAATCTTGAACCCGGAGAAGGTACGCGAACGCATAGATCACAATGGCAGCCAGCCCGGAAACTTTTCAAGAAAGTTGAGCGTGCTCGTCCTCGGCATCGACAGCGTTAGTCGGCTAAATTTCTACCGAGCTATGCCGAAAACCGAGAGATATCTGCGCGAGACTGGCTGGATTGGTCTAAAAGGCTACAATAAAATCGGCGACAATACGTTTCCGAATCTGATGGCGATTTTGACCGGTCAGACACCACAACAAGCATATTCTCGGTGCAAGCCGACAGTGGCTTACAAACTCGACAACTGCCCTTTCCTTTGGCACAACTTCCGCAATGCTGGCTACGTCACGGCCTACGGAGAGGACGAGACTATCCTCAACACATTTAACTACCTCAAGGTTGGCTTTGTCGAGCCGCCTACGGATTACTACTTGAGACCCTATATGCTGGCCAGCGAGAAACTTCTTAAAATCAAGAAAAGGTAATGAGTTAACTATTACCGTCCAAAGAGAGCAATATGATCTTTTTGCTGATTGATGAAATTTTCGTTCGCGCTGTTTGCAGATTCAACATGAAATACTGTACGGGTCCCAAATTAAGCTTCGAACGGATCTTCGATTACGCTGTGAACTTTGCCCAAACCTTCGTCGGCGTGCCATACTTCGGATTCTTCTGGACAAACACGATTAGCCATGACAATATGAACGGCATTTCGTCGATGGACACTCGTGTGTTGAAGAAATTCGAGTTTCTAGAACAGGAAGGAATACTAAACGACTCGATGATAATCTTCTTGAGTGATCACGGTATGCGCTGGGGCGAGTTTCGCAACACCTTTGTCGGCTGGTACGAGGAGAGATTACCGTACATTTACATCTGGTTACCCGAATGGTTCCGCCAGAAGAATCCCGAGGCCCAACGAGCTCTTGCGGTGAATCAGAATCGACTCACCTCGCCTTTCGATCTCTACGAAACGCTACGGGAGGTTCTCGCCATCGGAGGTGGTGATGCTGATTCCAGTCCAGGATGTTCCACCTGCCAGTCCCTTTTCGCGCCAGTCCCTAGAGAGAGGGGCTGTCAGGACGCAGGTGTGGTTTATCATTGGTGCACTTGCACGGCTTTCAAGTCCATTAACGTTAATAACAGAATCGCCAACGATGGCGTGCAGAAGTTCCTGGATCATGTTGAGAGTATCGTAAAAAATTACAAGGACAAGAAGGGCCGGCGACTATGCGCGCGGCTCAAGCTAAAGAAGGTGCACCGGGTGGATCAGGTGATCGACTTTGGCACGGATAATCTGTCCAGCATCACATATTTCTACATGATTCAGACAACTCCCGGTAACGGTAATTTCGAGGTAACCATCAGGTATCACGGTGATGGCAATTATACTCTATCTGATAGCGAAGTCAGCAGAATCAATCCTTACGCCGTGAGCGCCAGGTGTTTAAATCGCGGCATGAAGCAGTATTGTCACTGTGTAAAGTAAACATGAACTCACCAAAATTTGACTTTATACGCGTTGTTACAATTTTGTACTTCATTAATATTCCGTTGAATCCGATCGAAAAGAGTTAACTTTTTTAAGCTAGAAAGCCTATAACTGGTTTCGAAAAAAAAAACGCTATTCCTAAGTTGAAAATATTTGACGGTGAAAAATATTCAGACGTTACTTTAAATAACTTTCCTAAAACGTAAAATCTTGCGATGCATTGCATTGCGATGGTGTTGCAACAAATTTTCAAGTTTATTTTTGTGTTAAATTGTACTTTGCACGTGTTTTTTCTATAAGGATCGGTTGAACTTAATTACTTTAGTAAATATAACTATTACATAATCTTGAATCGATTTTTGTGAAAATATGTGAGGCATAGTTTTACTGATTTGCTTCGTACATATCGAACACAAAGGTTGATTGCCTCATCTCAAGGAATTAGGGACCTGAGTGTGGATATACGTGGATAGTTCGTTTATCAAAAATAGCTGAGACTAGAATTTTCCAAAGTCTTAATTTAACATTTAAATAATAAGTGATAATATATAGTCAACATCAATGAGTTAAATTCATTGATCTTTCTAAATATGTAAAATTATTATTAACGAAATGGAAATTAAATATAAGCTAAGTGCCAAAAATTATTATGACAAGAAACATATGATGTTGCATATGTTTAAATTTATAAAAAAGTATGCTACTAAAGATATTTAAAATGTTATATACTTGTGCAATTCTGGGTAAATTTTTGACAGTTAGCTGATATTTGTATCCATTTTCCACTATCACATGTATATGTGTAGTTTAACAACGAAGATATAATCATGAGAGAACGAGCATTGTGTGAAAAAAAGTTGAATTTAATACCTTGGTAATTTCGTACAATAATAGTACCTAAGTTATCGTACATATCTTATCAGAAGGTGTTCATCATACGGGATAATTTTTTCCATGCATTGTTGCATCACGATTGATTGCGAATGTACGACACAATGTTCGTTCGAATCAATGTACATTAAAACTGCATGAAGTACGATATAAGTATGTGAAAGACATAAGAACGTATCTGGAAGAGAGGATGATCGAATATACTTTCGTGGTGACATATGATGCTCGTCCTTTCTTATAAATATGTATCACAAGGCATTAGTCGTAGTTTGTAAGTAATGCGTGTGCCTGTCTTACAAGTGCCAAATATGTTCTGTGCTAACCTAAGTTTGAAATCATAGACCTTATAATAAACATGAACTGGCAATACAAGCAAAATCGTATCTGTATTTCTCTTTCTAAAAGTGTCTGAAAGTATCTCCAACAGTGCAAAAGTTGCAGCAATATTACTGCAAGTTTTGTGTTGTTGAGATACCACAGACCTGGAAAACCGGGAAAACCGGGAAGTCAGGGAAATTGAAATTGGTCATGCAAATCGGAAAAAGTCAGGAGAAAATGTAAAAAAGTTTGGAATTTCGAAATTTGCTCACAATTTCCCGAAACTGCTCCTATGCCAAATAATTCTTATAATTTTTTAAATTATATATGACGTTTACAATCAAATACGTTCAAACCCAGTGAAAAATGACAATGGAATCAATATCAAATCGACGTTGATTCGACGTCAATTCGATGATTTCGACGTTGAATGTGCTTTCACCGTAGAGCCCAATGTTGAAGCTCACTCACAGGTGAAATGCTGCGTTTTTTGTAATCTTTCCCAAGCGATTCTTGTTTATAGTCCGAGAAGCCGCGTGAAAAAAATCGTGATCATTTTATAAAATTTAAATTTTTTAATATTTAGTTGTATTTAGGATAAAAATCAAAATGCTCTCTCTCTCTCTCTCTCTCTCTCTCTCTCAAATCAGCAGGTCAGATGTTAGAATCCCTGGCGTTGGCACTTCTTCAAAAACTATAGGCACTGGTCAGTCATACTTAAGGTCTATGATTGAAACAAACTTTTCTTTTTACTTTCTGCACCGATATGATCGCCATAGATTATGTTATTCTACGATACATACGTTACAGCTTATGCATAAATGAAAACCAAAATATTATGTTTGCGTGATAATGAGAATAAAAGCCGGACTAATAAATTTATAACATGTTTTAGACCTACCAAATAATATCTTAGAGACAAGTTTTTTGAAAATTTTTTTCTCAACAGAAATATTAAGAGAAATTTATCAAAACTTTTCAGTTTCGCAAAATTGCAAATTTGTCAAAAGATTTATTTCTAAAATATTCTTTGGGGGTCTAAGATATAATCTACAGAAATAAGAATCCAAGCCAATGTGAGCTAACATAGGTTAATCGCATATAGAATCCATATATCTGAGACAAAAAATTCTTTACAGACGTTTCAACTCTTGGTATTGAGTCATCTTCAGTGTGAAATTAAATAAACAGTTGTATGTACAATAGTTGTTTAACAAAAGTAATGAAACATGCAATATAAAAGCAGCTTTTAGTTCGAATAATAATAAAAATACTGCATGTTTGTCAACTATGCGGTAAGTAGTTCATGATTAATATTTTTAGTGGTTTTTTTTGATAATTTTATACTACACATATTTCAACAATTATCCGTTTTATTTGTTTTATAACAATCATCCTCCTTAATATTAAAGATGAACAGTTAAACTCTTTAAAAATTTTAAAATAACCTGTGTTTTCACACATGGGAAAACGATTAATCCTGTAGTTAAATCCTGCAAATATGAGAAATGTGAGAAATTTATACAGGTAGACGTTGAATTTCTTGCTTGGATTCTCTTATTCCTGTGATTTATTCTTTGGAGCCTTTTATGAAGATTAAGATAATCTATTTCTTTACAAAGTATAAGGATCGTTCTCGCGTTTAAGAATATGGAATTTTACGTGTAAGCTGAAAATAAAGGCTAATGAAATATTTGACTATATTTTACTACGACGTTATGTATGCTTTATTCTAAGCAGTACGAGAACGTAAGTCTTAATCTAATTAAAAAATGTAATTAACGAGAGTATTTCGAGATTATTTGGAGATTGTCTGTGTGGAATTTCCGTCGAGAGTTAGCCAAGCCAAATTAAACAATATTCCTTAAATGGCATAAATAGAATCTAGTTAAGTATTTAGATAAGCATCACATTCTTCGAGCATATGTTCTTACAACGATTCCAGTGTCAAAGACAAACGCAAACTTATCGTAAGTTGTTTGACAATTATCTGAGTAGATATGAATGAAATTATTAACTCAAAAATCATTTGTAAATATTTGCGTATACGTCTCTAAAAGAATAGCGTTTTCTATAATCATTAAATTATTATTATCGTCGTATCATATAGAAGCATTTCTTGCTTCGCTCTTTTCATTTTTTTTCTTCTGAAAATAAGATTTCATATAGAGTTCAATCTGATATAGCGTGATTCATTACTTTAGACTTTAGACAATTAATAATCACCATGTAAAAATTGATTTTATGCAGTATCCAATTATCAATGTATCTGTTCATAGTTTTTTTCTACCTTTTTAAATGTTAATTAATTTTTTTATAAGCAATGTAATTTTTTGTTATTTAGTTCAATTAAACTGATATATGTAAAATCAAAAAATTTTTTAATCGCATCGATTATGGGTAAATTAACTTGATAATAAATTATAATAATGTCATATGTGTGTTTTATAAATTCTTCTTTGTTTGCTTTTTAATTAAACAATTAAATTTATACAAGAAAGTCACCGATACTGACATTTCCTAAAAAGTCATCCTCTTATTTCTTGGAACACTTTGTTAATTACTGATAAAAACAATCTATTTAGATAATTAAAGAAATAAAAGCTCATAATTCACATACTTGTGGTTAGTATTCATAATTAGCTAAAAATGAATTCTTACAAATGTGAAAATAAAATACTTATGATTTTCTTTTGCAACTTGCGTAGTTTAAATAATAGTAGCTATATTATTGATAATATTATATTGTACGTGTTTATACATATAGTTTCCTAAATTAGTTTTATTTATATTTTTTTCTTTTTCATATTTTTATAATATGGTTTCAAATATAAAATAGGCATGCAGCGTAAACTGGTATACCTGTTTGTAAAATAGATCATAAGCTAATTTAATCTTTATCGTGTTGCTTGTCAAATAGTCCTATCGGAGCTAAAAGCAATCGTCTATTTATAGGTAATATGTGGCATTACTGCCTACTGTGTCAGTTTTGAGGTCTATTTTGTCAGATGCTCATTTTTGCTGAGTTTAATGAAAAAGCAAATTATTGCAAATTTGCAAAAAATGTGCAAAAATGTTAATCTTCTTTTCAAAATAATGTCAAATATTATTAAAATAGTCATTCTTTTGACATTAAATCTCAATTATCTTAGAAACCTGACGTGCTGGAACTTTTTGGATTACGTTTTCAGCGTTCAACAATTTATAAAAAACATCTAGTCCGATTTGAAGTAATTTTTTGTTGTAATTAACTAGTATTGTCAAAGATTATATTATTTCCGTTATATTATATTTTTTCCGTTATATTATATTATATTATTTCCGTTATATTATATTTTTAATTCATTATCAGTGAAAGTTTTCGTAAATTAATTTATAGTAAACTTCGACACATGCAGATCAATAATTTATTTTCTTCGATCCTTATTCTGTTTGTAAAAGAAAAATTAATTACAACTGCAATAAATAAAAATCGACCAATATGTGAATAACACAAATAAGCGAAAAAAGCCTTATTTAGTCAAAGCTGATCTTTGTGCCCAATAATATTTTTCTGTAAAATTGCACTGCTCAAAAAAATTAGGGGATCGTTTTTTCTCAGTAAATTTTTGCCCATTTTTAAATTGTAATTATTCAGCGAATAATTAACGTAAAAAAAGATTAAAAAAGGATTTTACAGGGCAAACTCTCTACTACTAAAGGTGCTTTGTTCAATTTTTGTTCAATTTAATATTCTAAGGCATGGTCAGCTTTGAATAAGAACGTATTTGAGATATCTAAAATCTTGAAATTTGCATGGTTTTCAACTAACAAAAAATCAACGAACATAATCATTGATACTATCTCAAAATTATTGATTTTAGCTTATTTATGTTAATATAAATGCAAATGTTCGATTACTTTGCTATCATTAATCAGCTTCGTCAAACAAGAACGAATTAATTTGATGGGACATCTTCATTGGAGCGCCAAGTACGAGCGCGTATGTATCTTTCTCTTCTTGTTTGTTCCGACGATGCAATTAAACTG